TAAAAGTGTTTACAGCCTAACACGTCACGCTGACAAAAAACAATCGCGATTTTAGCAAAAAGCTGTAAGAAAAGTTGCCCGAAAGTATGAATTAACAATATAATATCCAATATTTCACGATTTTCAAATGGCAAAAAGTAACCCAACAGTAGTATGAAAAGTCGCAAGTAGTCAAACGAGTAGTTTTAAGTATCGAAGCGTTTCCGAAAGTAGCCAAATCTGGCACCGCTGCACCGCACATTCTTGTCTACACTGATTTCCCGTACAGATTTCGACCTCTGATCCATAGTTTTTCCGAAAGAAGCGAAGTGTGGCAACAACACACCGGACATACTTAATTGCACTGGTTTCCCGTACAGATTTCGGCCTCTCGTCGATTGCAGTTAAATATTGCATGTTTTTCAATAAATTTGTCGAATTGTTAATTTTTGTTCAAATGTAGAAATGTTTATCGAACTACTAAAATAAATATCTGAATCTGCCTCAAATCACTTGGCGTGCCATGAGAAATCCTCTCGCGTGCCACAATTGGCACGCCTGCCAGGGGTTGCCGACCCCTGACGAGTTGGATGCATGAAGAGGTGGGCTAGACCTGCTACACTCACCAGATAGTAGCCAAAATTAACCAAATTACCGTCCAAATTATTTTAAATATTAATTAATCAATAAAAGTACCGGTAATTATAATTAAAATTAATTAGGGCAGTATGATACAGAGGTAGGAAAATTGGTTACGGGAATATATAGGATTTCAAAGGTTCAAGTAAGGTTTCTAAAGTCATAGAGGCTGTTGATCACTGCGGTCAGTTCAAATTCATCACGGATGATTCATCAGTCTGCAAGTTTTGTTGATGTATACATTATACACCTTTTATGTTGAATTAGCTAGCTTTTAAATTGATCATCATGGCGTCCTTAAAAACGAAAAATATATCTGCGAGTACAATATTCAATGAGGTACAGGAGTTAAACTGTACCGTCTACAACCCTCACAAAGAGTCACACCACTAATTTAGAAAACAAAGATCATGCATGTGGAATATCAGACACAAAGCATTGAAAAAGGAAACATGCGCATGCAGATGTCAGAATGTGAATAGCCATATGAGGAAAAATCTTATACTATGCATGCTATAGAACAAAACAAATAGCCAACTATAGAATGCAAAACAGATGAAGATGAAGAGAGCTCAATAATTGCTTGTTCAAAAATAAATTATCAATCTCAGAGACAATAACAATATTATGGCTGTTCGATATTCTCATGAAAATAATAAGTATGTGAAAGTGAGGAGTTTCCCAACTTATGCCATGGTCTTTCTTTTGAAGTTGTAGCCAATTAAAAACGAAAAATATATATCAGTGTGTTTCTGACATAATAACTTTTAATATTTGGATACCAAGTAGAACTTGACTTTTTTTTAAATGATTTTTTGGATTTCAATGTCTTCAAATTCATGGGGAGAGAATTCCACAGCTTGGGCCCAGTATAACATAGGACAGGGTGGTCCAAGGTTGTGGGCTTCGCGGGCCACACTATTTTTTTTTGTAGTTTTCGCGGGCCGCAATAGTTCCAAGAATATGTAAACAGTGCAATACAAAACAAACACTATTATTAACGAAACGCATTGATCAATATTATTCGTCATTTATCAAGCTAAAAACTGCAAAAACCACCAAAAAACTGTAAAAATCAACTATATCTACATTTAGTACAAGATTTCGAACTCTCCATACCGGAGAAAGTGTCATAAGGCGCAAATGCCGTTTTAAATTGTCATCGACAAAACTTGCAGTCATATCAAGAAAGCATTGGTGTATTTTCCCTCTCATATCCGAAACGCATTGATCAATATTATTCGTTATTTATCAAGCTAAAAACTGCAAAAACCACCAAAAAACTGTAAAAATCAACTATATCTACATTTAGTACAAGATTTCGAACTCTCCATACCGGAGAAAGTGTCATAAGGCGCAAATGCCGTTCTAAATTGTCATCGACACAACTTGCAGTCATATCAAGAAAGCATTGATGTATTTTCCCTCTCATATCCAGTCAAAAATCTGTCTCAATTGGCCAGCTTTCTTTTCAAACTCATGTTTACAAAATATCTGCGGATTGATTGATCACCGAATTTCACCAAATTTGAGATGCAGGAGGGTAATTACTAAATTACCTGCCATATAGGTAGCATTGTTTAGTAGTACTGTTTAGACTGGTTGCAAGAAAACGCCCGACAGGAATTATATTTTTCGTCAATAACATTAATATTTAGTTATCATGCATAGCCGATCTAGGCTACTAGATTCCTGATTCGATTTTTAGTTTTCTGGGAGAACAATTTTGTTAGCATACCGGTATATTGCCGGAAAAAAGATTAAAAGCCAGTTAACAATTTAGACTAGCTAACATCATTTCAACTTTACACTAGTCAATTCAGTGGCATTTATGATCTAACAATATGTCTAAAGAATTTTTTCTGGTTATTTTTATAACGAAACAGCACCAAATGCGAATTTTTGTTTATCTCCCTGTGCGTCGCGGGCCCCAGATAATGAAGCGGCGGGCCACATGTGGCCCGCGGGCCTGAGTTTGGACCATCCTGACATGGGGCATGCTGGATCACAGATTTACTCATGAAAGGTATTTAACAAATTGGAACTACTTTTTCGATTGGAAGCAATTTTAGTTAGTATGTCGTCGGAGCAATTTGACAAGGAATTGTTATGAAAATCATACTTTAATGAAAATACTTCAAATTTTATTATATCTTCAACTTTGAGTATATTTAGCGTTTTATAGAAATGGTTTACGCTTTCACGTTTTCTTTTCCTAAAAACAATTCCTAAAAAATTATGACAAATCCTTTGTAATTTTGAGACAAGTGTTCCATTACCTTGGAGCCAGACTGAGTAACAATATCGGATATGGCTGAGTAGTAGTGATTGAAACATTGCTAGTAAAGCTCATTGATTAACACACTGGGATACTTTGGCAGCAACTGTCAAGTTTCTTTTTGTTTTACCAATAACATGCGATATTTGTGTAGCATACATATTGTGTAGCCAGGTCTTCCTTCCATCAGTCTTAATCCAAAAATGAGGACGCAGGTAAAAACGAGTTGCAACAAGCAGTAGGGATTTATCGGTATCGGCCATTTTCGGTATCGGCTAAATGTAGATCGATAAATTTAGCTTTTACTCTGATCCAGAATATTCTAAAAAATAAGTTAGAATATTCTTAAAAATAGGTTGGAATATGGATATTGAAATTATTTTCTGCCAGGATGGACTGTGTTCGCGGTATTGGCCTGTTAACTCTGAGCAATGCTCGTCCCCACCCCCACGAGTAGAAACGGGAACAGGATTCTGACCCATTTTTGCTATTTATCAACCAAACTAGCTCAACTAATTTGGCTATTTTCGCTGCCAAATTTTTTTATTGACATTTTTAATGTTACATGGTAATTATGAAGAAATTTATCAGTCGAATATTAGTGGATTTTTCAATGTGTAAAATACAGAATGCGACGTTATATTGGCACAAAATCCTGCGTATGCAAATCAATGTATCAGCTTGATAGGATAAGTAAATATTTATTTTACCTCCCATAATAGCCAAATCCTATGAGATTTCTAATTGAACATCGAGATTACTATCGTCGGTGCACAATGCATCTGAATTAATTAATGCAGTGCTTCTCAACCCTTCTCAGTTCGCGACGCATTTTTTTTGTCATTTTTTTGTGCGACTCACAATGAGATGTTGATATATGAGAAAAGGAACAATGTTTCCCCATGCAATTTACTACTAATGCGAAACTTGAGCTTGTATATCGAATATTATCAGATCAAGTCGAGGCTTGATAGGAGACAATGTCACACGCAACGCAGAATTAACACTCAACACATTGTGCTTTCGGCTAGAAGTCATTTCCTGCCACATTTCCATGAACCACATTGATGCAATCAGAGAAATATTTTCTCACTACAACTTTTCGAAGTTTCCTTTTTTTATTTTTAACTTCGTTCCCTTTTCTTTTCAAATTTTTTTTTTCATTTTGTGGCTAGTTAGAATGTTAAAATGTAGTATATTAACTGTATAGCCAGTATTTAAAATGCAACTCATTGGACATAAGATTACCAATTACACGAACCGGCGTCTTTGCTACTGTCTACACCAGTGTTTCCCAAACTGTGTTCCGCGGAACACGAGTCCCTTCGAAGTGTTCCGTGAAAATAGAATCGAATATACGTCTAGACTGGTCGTCATGGAGATCTATAACTGACCGTTTAATATCGCGTCACCGTCGGCCAAAATCGGACTAACTGGGGTAGGGTAGTGGCATTTTGATAACCGTCGGCCTAGTTTTTCGACCGTTAACCCTTTCGTTAGTTTTGTAGTTCCTCAACAACAAATACATTTGTTGCAATTGGTTGGTGGGCACACACACTAACCTATCAAACTGCGCGTTCTCTGACTACAACTTGTAATACGAACGTTTTGTAAACCTCCATAGTTTAAGATTGTCTTGGCAAGTTTAGAAACAAGTAGGTAAAAATTTTTTAATGCAGATTGGAAATTGAGCATGTTTGAAGACAAAATTTCGTACGATAACCTAATTATTATTGAAAATAAAAAATATGCCCGTGGTTGGTAGTTATAGTTCTGGAACAAGCTGGATTGTATGCTTCACATTGCTTTGGTAATTAAGTAATTGACTTATGTATAAATGTTGTTGACAAACAACATCATGAAATTATGGGAATTACATCATGGGAATTATGGCACGATCCACAAGATCCAAGTATTATTGTTTGGCAATAATATTGTTGCCACATGTAGGCGCTATTGAGTCGAGTTCGACGCCATTAATGGATATTGCACCATACTTGCGAGATTTTAGCAGCCGAGTTTTGCTGCCATGTCAAGTTTTTTGTGTTGGTTTTATTGTGATTTGCTTATTGCTATTTATTGTGTTTATTATCTTTAGATGACTTAGACATCTAAATTAGTTAGTAACTGGATTTATTGGGTTGTTGCCCATGGTGTTAAGATATTGCGCTGTACATTTGTTACTGTGAAGAAAGTGTACTGATGTTTCCAGAATGTATTATGCAATGATTTTTGGGTAAGAATGCTATAGTATTTTAAGTTGCATAATTTGAAGTTCACTGATGTATGTGTATTAAATATTGTCATTGTTAACAGATTGTGAAGTATTCTCGCGGATTCACAAAGTTTTCTTACCCGGTGTCATAAATATTATCGGTATGTTATTTATATTTGGATCATTGCTGAATTTGGTATTATTTAGTTTTATAAGTGTTCTGAGACATGTTATTTTGTTTTAGAAAACCGTCTTCCATCTTTCATTTCCGTCTATTGTGATGTTTGTGTAGTGCTGAGCATTTCATGTTATGCTATCAATTCTTCGAATTACAATTTAATTACAAATTTTCAATAATTGGTTGTGTTTGGACAAGGATTTGGGAGATGCGTTTTCGATTTGTTAGTTTTCTCTATGTGACACCTTGTGCTACCGGGTCACGTTGAAAGGGAGGTTACACCCGGGGCGAGTTTCTCATTGTAATGCCCCTCATACCTAATTTCAAAAACAATAAAAGTGAATAAACAGATTATAGATGCTGTTATACATGAGTATGAATCAATCAATGATCAAGTTAGCCATGTTACGTTCCGATGTCCGCCATCTTGGTTCGCATACTTCGGGAGCACCAAATATATTTTATGGCGATGATAAATCTTGCTATGCAATTGATTTTTAAAATTGTGAATAGGGTTGGGCATTTTAAATCGAATAGATTTCTATTCGAAACAGGTTTCTTATTCTGCGTAAACACAAAACCAACTGTCTGAATGATGGAGTATATGTTTTCGGTGATTCAATAAAAAAGTCGAATTCAATTACCAATCATTCAAGTATCCGAGATTTGATTTGAAAAATATTCGATTTCATTCTGAAACCACTAAGTATTTGAAAATGCCCTGCTTTAATTGCGGACAAATGTTTATGGATTTATGATAAATTCTCGAGGCAACTAAGAAGAGGATTCGTATATTGTCTCGTATATACAATAGATTCACATGAGCCTAGTTGAACCTTACGGTTTAACACATATAAATGAGCCACGGTAAAGATCAGTATCTGAAAATAATTACATGGACGATGTTCGGACCGAAGGTGGTTATTTTTTGATATGCTGTCGTCCATGCATCGATTTTGAACTGCGTGCTAATGCGGGAAATCATTAGAAAAACCAATTGAATCTGTGCACATTTGAGTCCCTTATTGCAAAATCCCCACCATTATCTAGAAAAGGATAGGATAAGGTTTACATATTTATCCCGGGAGGAGAGGAAAGCCGATAAGACGGCTTAACCATATGGCGAACCACAGCCTCTCGTCCGGTTACCGTTCCATGTCGGGTATCGGATTAGTTAGTTACTTGTTTTCGGAAGAATGGACTTGATGGTGGAGGAAGCCGTAACCAACCAGTGGTTACGTGAACCACCCTACGACGGCGAGGAGTCCAGCAATCCTCTCGCACATAACCATCTCGCATGGGATTCGAACCTGCGAACCCACGTAGGGTAATTAGAGGTGCAATGGCAAGCGTATTCCTAACGCTTAGCACGATGAGCCTCACCGCCGCGCCTAGTACGACAATCGTTATCAATGTCCCCATCTTATCAATACTATCCAATAGATCTCAATCTAGCGATATAAATATATTTGGACATTTTCTATCAATAAAAAAATCTGAAGAAGCGGATTTTGCTCGCTGTGTGAACAAGTATATTATATAGAAAACATTTATGATCGGAAAAGAGAAAAAACTGTTAATACGTCATCAATAGGTCATCATTTTCAGTATATATATATGCTATTGACATCGTAAATACTTCATTCCAATACAAAAATAATTTGTTTGTTGTAAGCGAAAAAGTCATGAATGAAAGGATTAAGTTTATTATCAAGTTTACAGCAACCTTTTTTGTCTTGCTATAGGCAAACGAGTAGATCTAAAGAATAAAGGCAAAAGGTCAACTCTTTTTCCTCCATATCTGCCTGGTTTTACTTTGAAATGCTGAAAAAATACTCATTTTTTCTAAACTCTATATTCAGTAGATGAATAAACTGCAGGTCTGCAGCTCGCGAAATTGCAGCAAGTACTTCTAATCTCCATTAGACGGAACATTAGATGCAAACACTACGTAATGGAAAGTAAACGTCATAGAATGGTAAAATGAATTTATTGATTCATATACACACCATTTAAATTAAGAAACAATAAAACATTTTTAATAAAAGCAATATGTAAAATATTCAATAATATTTTAAGTATGTTTAACGTAATTCTGTTAGTTTTCGCGGCGCATTTGAAAACTCGCCACGGCGAACTCATTGGGAACCGCTACATTACATCGTTTTTTCTTTATCTATTTTATTCTTTCATTTTTTGGTGTTCCGCGAGGCGAGATAAAAAGTGCAAGTGTTCCGTGGCCGAAAAAGTTTGGGAAACGCTGGTCTACACGAATTCAACAAATTACTAATCTGCCCATTAGCCTACCTACAGTTTCCAACACGTAGGGACGTACTGAAATTATTAACGAAACACAACGTATAATTCTAATTGTTACATTGTTTCATAATTGTTACGTAATGATGATGCCACAATTACCCGATCTAATCGAAAAATGGTTTGTAACATTTGGATATACTTCGCGACCCACCAGCGGTTCGTTGGTTTTTAACAAGTACCGCTCATTTGATTATAATTATCAACACAAACACTTGCTGTAACAATTTCATAGGGACACATTTATTTTTGTAAGACATTAGTCCTAAAAAAATAAGAACAAATCCCGAAATTTGTGGACAGTATGGAATTCCTGTATATAGCGATGTGACGGAATCCATTCGGCATTAGCTTACATCACCTATCTAGATTCTAAGTTGTTTCCAAAATTTCGCGGTTAATGGAGGGTCCGGATTTAGACGATGAGAGGCCCTAGGCCTAGGGCCAGGCCATGCCATTCTTGATTCGTCTGTTTAACAATGGCGTCATAAATAGAGAAGTAGAGTTTTTCAAATTTAGATTAATTCATTTATTCGACCGTATTTTTTTACATTACACGGAAAATATGTGGAACAAGAATTTTTAACCTGATTAAGAAATTTTTTAGCCGGTTATATGCTTCAACAAGCCATTAAAATACCTGTTTTAAACTACCGTGTTTCCCCGAAAATAAGACTGGCTATTTTTTCAATTTTCTTCCGAAAAACAACACTATGGCTTATCTTCGAGGGATGTCTTATATTTTCATTTATCAAAAACAAAATTATAAAGTAGAGAATTACGAGATTTTCAAACATACAGAATATGAAAACCGATATCCATGGCACGTTCAAAATAACTGCAATACATAGATTATCAATCATTTAAAACGTGTAGGAGAGATCCAAGATCGACTAAATCAAAAAAAAATCGTGCTATTGACTAGGTCTTATTTTGAGGGAAGGGCTTATATTAAAATCATTTTTAAAATAAATTCATGCTAGGTCTTACCTTCGGGGAAACACGGTATATGTTGGGACCCCTAAGGGCTGGGACTCCAAGGCTGCAGTCTACTTTGCATAATGGTAAATCCAACCCTCTTTGCACTCAGCACCCCCGTTATTCCGAAGGGTGTCGATGCTCGATAACTATATTTTTTTTCACGACTCCCTTCGCCTTGGAATGCTATTTCTTTTTGTACTGTACATATATATTGCGTATTTTCAGCATTGGTATTGCTATAGGCTACTTTGAATAATGTTCACTGTAAATACTGTTCGCAGACAAATATTTTATCCCGTTCACTCAAGAACATTGTACACACATTAATGAGAATCATACATTATTGGAATATCGGCAGTTTTTCATGTTATGGGTATCGGTGAAAAAATGGTGTGGTGTCTAGGTAGACTGAGATTTGGAAAAAGATGCTGCCATGTGTTTGTTTGATTCATAACTTTAAATTTGGTTTCATTAGTTATAGTGGTTACGAGATATAGTGGTTTAGAAGTATATATGTTTTGTTTAATCGCACAATATTCGCGGACTTGTCAAGATCTGTATAAAACTTCGCATTAAGGAGATGCAGTGACTCCTGTTTGCCTCTCCAATCTTAGAATGATGTAGGTGGGAGATTGTAAATACAAATAGATTTACCGCACCATAAAATCGTCTGACTATATATTTGCCCAGATTTTGTTATAATGTTAATCTTACTGACAGAATTGCTAATATTATTGCAGTTACATAAAATTCTAATTAATTACAGACTTTTTAAAATAAATAAAAGTAATAGCCTGCTAGCGAAAAATACAATCATTAAACACTGAAAACCTGAAAGCTATTGGTCCAGTAGTTAACTAGTTTAGGACTCATAATGAGAGAAGTGATTTTTCATAGCAAGAAAAATACTAAGAAGAAAATAAATAAGAACTAAATCACAACAAAACGATCAATAATCCCACGAGATCTGATATTTCTTCCGAAATCTTGAGGGGTATTTGATACTGGTAAATTCGTTTTGGTCTTCAATGAAACCCTTTTATTAATGAATTATCGTAGAATATCTCCTGACAACGTACTTGATGATTTTCATGTATAGAAATGAGCCAATGATAAAAATCCACTAATTAATAAAACTACTGAATATTTCTTTATTTTCGATAAATATAGAAATGAATTTCTGAAAAACAAAAAAAAAAAGAAGTCTTCAAATTGACGATATTTTCAATCTTTGTTATTGGTTTACACTAGATCAGTGGTTCTCAACCTTTTTTCTTCCTTGGCCCACTTTCGTTGCACAAAAAAATTCTGTGGCCCATTAACTTCCAATTGCAAGAAAATCAAATAATTCTTTCTGCAAAGATAAACACTCCCACTTTAATAATTAAAATGGAAATTAATATTTGATAGCAAAAAAAAAACAGCATTATCGTTCATTTCTAATACAATCAAATCTGGCTAATTTATCAATAAGTCCAACAATTTTTAAGAGATTTGTGGCCCACTGGTTGAGAACCGGTGCACGAGATAGTGTTGCAAACATTGTTACTCCTGCAACACAATATTTAAAAGGAAGCAAGCAAAAAAGCCAGTCTGTGTGTCCTCTTGTGTATGGTTCCAGCCCTGGCTTTGGAACCAGCAATGGGACTTCGTCGCATTCCATGTGTTTTTTCCTAGTGTTAGATCTCATTAGAAAATCCATGCAAGCAATGGGTCTTCAGTTAGCTTGTGGTTCCCTTTCTCCCTTACATTGTTTTTCATCCATTTTCTTATATTTCATGATGTCAGAAAACACATTGGACATTTTACCAACTTTTTTGGTAACAGGTCGGTTGGGAGTACGTCGTGGTGTAAATTTCTTAACATTATCTTCAGGTTGAGTATCAAAGTCAAACTCAGTTACCTCAGATGGTACTTTTTCTGGAGTTTTTTCCAATGTTTCAGTAGTTTCAGGAGACAATTTTGCTGATTGCTGTTAAAACAAAAAGGATAAATCAGCGTTTACTAATGAAAAAAGACATAGGTCGAAATAGGATCATATATTCATCTTGGAGAGGAATTCCGGTGAAACGATCTGATCATATATTACACCATCGCCTCTTATACACTTGCCAGTCCAAGACAGGTAGAGAAGTTCACCTGTATCAGATGCATGGACTTTAATGGGTGATTAGCTGTTACATAAACCATCCTGCAACAGCGAGCAATCCATCAATCCTCTCACACTGTGTGTTGGAGTGATGGCAAACACATTCATACCGCTTTGGCAGTAGGACGTAATCAAACAATCAGTACGAGTAGGAGAAAATGTACGATCGACTCCAGACTAATATAAATTTTAGTCTCGACTCTGGGTTGTGAAAATTTTAAATTTGACTGTAGCTCCCAACTCGGAAAAAAATCAAATTTCGATATCAAAAACTTTCGCGTCAACAGATGTAAAGAACGTTTGGTAATTTTGTGCATTTTGAGTTTTAGTTAAAAGTTTTGAGTTTGACTTATTTTATCATCATTGAAAATCCGTAATAGCCATCCTAACCCTTGGTAGTTACTAGGGCTGTCCAAAATCGAATAATTTTTTTTATTCGAATCGAATCGAATATTTTCTCCGAATCGAACCGAATAATCGAATATTATTGCGCAATAGTAAATCTGTCTCTATTATACAATAAACGCCTGCCCTTCGATGTTGTGGTAACGTATGTGCAGTTACATCAAAGGAGATCACACGCTTGTATGACCTGGTCAAAAAAATTGGAGAACTCCAAAATTTGGGTCTCGAAAACTGTTGAGTGTTAAGAGTAAAAACTGCACTATTCAAAAATTGCAATCTCAATTTTGATGGATTCAGTTTTAATAGGACATATAAAGCCTGTAGATGCTATTTTAATCCTATTCACTAGTCTTTATGTTTTTTTGTGTAAATTTCAGCAAAATAATAACATCCATCAATATAGATAAAACTGTTGCTCAAGTTCAAAATTGCATTTAAAAATTCCAAGCTAGTTTGATGACAATGTTATTTGATGACTATAATATTGTTAGTGTACAACAGCCATCAAAATGCAAGAGTGCAATTATTTGTCTTGGTATATAGATGGATAATACAGTAATGCCATCATAAGAAATTACAAATTCCATTTAAAGAAGGTATTGCCATCATAAGGATCCCAAAATCTGTTTCAGCTTTGAGTTGCCTGTACCATGTTCCTATGATAACTAACTCAACAGCTTCAAATCGATTCTATTTATAGAACTATCGTTTTCTAAATTCTCTCCTTTTTCTCCTTGTTCTCTCTCAAAAACGTCACGATCGATTATACCTTGTTATGACGACCATGCATGAAATGGCTAATCACGTGCCACCGGGCGGGCATTAGTAATGACATGTTTATCACAAAATGAAGACGAGAGAAATATCGGGAAACCAATTAAGCAAGCCGGGAGCAAGAGTGGTCTGAGCTCGGAGCGCCGCCGCTTGCCCGATGAAAAACATCCCGTAAAATATTTCCGCTTTATGTACCGATACCTAATTTTAGCGATTCGAAAATTAGCCGAAAAACGATTCGAATAATTTGCGATTCGATTCGATTTCGAATATTTGGTTCGCTTGGACAGCCCTAGTAGTTACTAGTTGGAAAATACAACACCGGCGTTGACTCCAGTGAAAACACTTCGGACTCCGCAGCTTTGCATACAATGATATGAAATACAATGTTTTGCAAAGTGAAAATGTAGTCCTGAATAATATTTTAATGCATAAGATAACTTTTAAAACATAATTTGAACAATTTTTCATTTGAAATATAACTGGCTAACCATTCCCCAGCCAACATGGACTGATAACTGGAAAAAAGGCTGTGGTTTGCCATATGATTAAGCCACACTATCAGCTTTCCTCTCCCCAGGATAAATAAGACAAATTTGATTGGTCCATGCTTTCCGTTGTTGTCGGTGTCAGATGAAAACAATTTTATGGTAAGGTGAATACAGTTACATCAATATTTTTAAATACAATATACTAGGGATAACGAAAAAATTCAACATTAACCTGGTTACACATACTCAACTTACCGAAGTTTCAGAATCTGGTTTTGCTCTGGGATAAATAGGAGCATCAAATCTAGGAATCTCCCCTTTCAGTATAGCTTCATAAAGATTGATCATAACGGATGGATCAGAAGGTTCATAAAATTCATTGTTCCCAGCATTTTCATCATCACTACACAAAACTTTCCATTCATCCATCTTTCGACATTACAGAATTAAATTCATAAGCATATAAATATTCAGAAGTAAAAGAACTGGATCAAAAAGAGAAGTTAAAACAAGACTTATTCTCTCATCATGATTTGTACTGTAATGATAAGCAAAGTATATTATAAACATTGCTTCTGTTTTGAGAGCAATTTCTCACAAAAGAAAGTATTTGTAAGTGAAATAAACTCAACAAACTACAGTGGTAGGTAAAGGATAAGAGTTAATTATTGGTAATACATGAAATATGTTTAAGACAAAGCAAATCGAAAATTTTCGCAAAGTTAATCAAGATTCCAAGTACTCCCATTCGACCTAGCCTTTTTCTGCCAGCGCTTGCAATGACCACAAAAAATTGAAACAGTTTTCTGAGCAATATTATTTCAAAAATAAAAAAATGTTTCAAATGTCGAATAGGTCATTGTGGGAGTTTGTTATTTTCATTAGTAATATTGACTTGTTCTACACTTGGCTGCAAGTTGGAATTTTCAATTTCTGATTCAACTTTTTCATCTTCATGAACAGCACATGATGGATTTTTTACAATTAAATCATTTTGCCCAACTAATTCAACAAGGTCATCATTTTTGATCTTCATACATTTCTTGTTTCCATCCCCATTCGCTTTGTGACTTATATCATCAGCAGTTACACTGGATTCCACAGAAGTAGTAGATTCTTCTTTTCCGTGAATTTTTGATATCACATTAGAACACAGTAGTTCCCTAATATTATACTTTTTGTAAAAATAATAATTTTTTACAACAGAAACCAAACATACAGTCTTCAGAACGTCGATAATAACTGACACTGATTGAGATCTGCAGTTATATTTCCAACCACATTCCGAATCCCGCATTTTTTCATAAAGTCCATCAAGAACTTCCTTGCGAGATAAGTGACTATTATTTCGACACTTATACTCAATAGTAAATTCTTTTTTCATAACATCTTGGAAACTTTCATCCTCAAACTTATTTTCTAGGAAGGTAGGGATATTCTTACACATACTGTCAAGATATGCAGAACAGGAAAAGTCTATTGGATGCATCCTCAATACATTCCTTATTGCAGGTAAACTGTTGTCAGCGTTGTTATCGTTTTGATGAATTGTTTTCACAACTCTACTCAGAAAAGGTCCGGGACTAATATCTTTATGAAATCGAATAAAAATCAGGTTATTACATCCACTTTTGACTGCTGTAAAACGCCTTTGTTCCGAAGAGTTTCCTTTAGCAATGGATTTAATCTCATTCACTTCATTAGATAAAATGCTGGCAATATCTTCATCTTCCGATTTGCTTTCAGCACCATCATCTGCTAAATGAAACAATTTCATAAACAAACACTACAATTCTAGTACTAGGTTTTCTTCAAGTTTTGATAACAATATATGACACATAAGGTGTTTGAATTAAATTGCCGCTCAGATACATGGGCATGCAAGTAACAATACAATTGCCAGATTGGATGTAGGCAAAAACTTGAATTAGCGTTGTGTGGTTGCCTTTGCTATAAGAGTCATATGGTAGACACATATTAATGTAGTATAAAAACTATAGCATATTTCTACAACATTGTAAAACTTACTAAAAGCCAAGTTTATATTCATATTTTGTTACTTATTCAAATTTTGATTTACCATTTTCACTCTCCTTGTTCAACTTTTCAGGTCCAAAATACTTGTCCGCAAAATGATTCAGCAATCTAAAAGAATCGAGTCTGCAAAACTTCTCTTTATTACGATCATGAGATATGAGAACTCCTTTCATTCCTGCCTCAAGTTTTGAATATCCCCCACCACCACAATATTTTGCTTTTTTCCCCTTTTGTATCGACTTATTGACAGCAAACTTGCGTTTTTCAGACATCTTACCAAAGTTTACACTCTTACCTGGATTATGGAAGAAGAGTCAAAACGATGTGTAAAGTTTGTTAATCGGGGATCTAACAGGAATTGACCCAAATAGGCCTACATATAATACAAAAGCAAAGAACAAGATAATAAAGACAACACTGGAACAAAAACAAAGTCAGAAAGTAGGCACAACAGCACAAAGACAGGAAAACATAAAGAAGGAGCTGTAATCGGAACGAAGAAGTTTGGCTCCTGGGATGAGATTTTCATATCTCCCGCGAGGGGGAATAAAGATGCTCAGACGGCTTGGCTTAATCATATGGCAGTATGGCATCCCACGGTGTACGGACTCCTCGCCGTACGTCACTCCTCGCCGTCGTTGGGTGGTTCACGTAACCGCTGGTCGGTTACGGCTTCCTCCACCACCAAGTCCATGCTTCCGAAAACAAACAATACAGTAAAACTAATCCCATACCGGTACCCGACTTGGAATGGTAACCGGACGAGAGGCCGTGGTTCGCCATATGGATAAGCCGTCTTATCGGCTTTCCTCTCCCCCGGGATAAATATGTAAATCCTATCCTATCTAGTTACAATACCGGTACCGTACACTACTTGTTTAGGGATCCATCCATGGCAGTTATTTAAGTTTATTTCGAATCAATAATACGGTAGGTGATAAAATGATTGATAAATGCAAATAAGTAACAGATAGACTACAATCTACATGAACTTAACCAAGCCCATTTGTCCCCAATAGAATAATAGGCAACATACGGTACAAGAGTATATAATGAAAACAATACTACAATATAAACACAAGATGCTGAGACTGCGAGATGGTACCGGGGGTCTCGTGTAGTTTCGTACTCAACATACTTCTAGTGGGCGTAGCATAGCAATTTTTTGATATGTCAATCCCAAATCGTATATATAATAGTAGTCAATCCTAACCCCCATCTGACTACGCCAAAAATTATGTCACTACAGACATCACAATCACGTCATAGAGCTTGCTAAATGGGGTCTCATGTAGTTTCGTAGCTAACGTACTTCTAGTGGGCGTAGCATAACAATTTTTTCATGTGTCAATCCTAACCCCCACCTGACCACGCCATCCAAAAATTATGTCACCACGACGTCACAGTGACGTGATAGAGATACGAACTGTCATCCAAGACGCGCAGACGAAAACACGAAATAGAACAGCCATCTCTCTCGTTTTCTCGTCGTAACGATCCCGATAGGAGAGAGATCGCTGACGTTAGTCAGTTCTTTATCGTCGGCGCCGATGCTATTTCGGGCGATCGTAAGAGTATTTGGCAAGCTCTATGACGTGATTGTGACGTCGTAGTGGCATAATTTTTGGATGGCGTAGTCAGGTGAGGGTGAGGATTGGCATGTCAAAAAATTGTTATGCTACGCCTACTAGAAGTACGTTAGGTACAAAACTACACGAAACCCGCCAAATGTACGTACGATCGCCCGAAATGGCATCGCCCCGACGATAAAGAACTGACTACTAAACGGTTCCATTACATTTGAACCCACGTACATTTGATCCCACGACAATTGCACCTGCGCACTATTGGGGTCTCGTGTAGTTTCGTACCTAACGTACTTCTAGTGGGCGTAGCCTTAGAACAATTTTTTGATATGTCAATCCTAACCCCCATCTAATTACGCCATCCAAAAATCACTACGACATCACAATCACGGCATAGAGCTTGCCAAATATACGCACGATCGACCGAAACGGCATTGGCGCCGACAATAAAAAACTGACTGACGTTATCGGTCTCTCTCCTATTGGAATCGTTGCGACAAGAAAACGAGAGAACTATCGTAACTGTTCGATTTCGGGTGCTCGTTTGCGCGTCTTGGATGGGAGTTCGTATAGTTTGAAGGGCTCTATTACGTCACTGCGACGTCGTAATGACGTAATTTTTGGATGGTGTAGTCAGGTAAGGGTTAGGATTGATACCGGTACGTGAAAAAATTTTCATGCTACGCCCACTAGAAGTATGTTAGGTAAGAAACTACATGTGACCCTACTATTGTACTTATGGAAATTTTTTGATTTACGGATATTTGAACCCATACCAACCCTACCCCATGGGTTTTAGGGGAGGCGGACAACTCGACTACACGGACAACTCACCAGAGACAACTGACATTTGAGCACTAAAAATATCAAAAACGCATTTCTATAGACCTAAAACACCACCGTAGAAAATGCCAAAAGACGGACAACTCACCAGGCCTCTAGGTAGTCGAGTTGTCTCTGGTGAGTTGTCCGTGTAGTCGAGTTGTCCGTCAGCCGGTTTTAGCACCCGCATATAGATTGAACCCGCGGATATACAGATGGGTTCAAAATTCAAATGTAGGTGGGTTCAAATGTACGATCACCGTACTAAACACCAACGTCTTTGATCTCTCTCTGATTTAGATCGTTGCGACAAGAAAACGAGAGAAATAGCTGTTTGAAACTACATGAGACCCCGGTACCGGTACCGTCAGTCGTCACTTCAGGCCAGGGCCATTATATAACGGCTCAGACCGGTTAGTCGTTGGACCGCACTATCAGAACTAAAAATATTTTACTGTAAAACAAACGTACATGAACAGCTGTATGAATGTTTTGAATCAAAATGATAGTTTGAAACAAACATATATAGGATATAGCAGTATAGGCTGAACCAGTTTATAGGCGCCAACTCGCGAAACCACTCTTAATAAATCGGCACAAAATTTTCTGCAACGGTAAAGCATAGTTTACCATGGGTTTGGTATTGTACATACGCTTTGGGTTTGGGAAAAACTGTCCGGGGGTCAAAGGTTGGAAAAACATCCATACGGGTCATAACATGAGCATGAAATGTATCATTCCAGTCCTTAAGATCATCAGGTTCCCAATAAAAAATACCCTTAGATAGTAAAAGATACAGCCTATATATAATTTTCCTGTAGATAAATTAATGTATTTATTATTATTTTCTTACCTTTATCAAAGCATAAAGGCGACGTAAATTAGCGTAATGATAAAAACAGTGTAATTATCAATTCAAATGGTAATTTATTGCCATTTGAATGGCATAGTTTTCCAGATTTGGAAGAATTTTGTTTTGTTTGAAACAAGAATAGGTAACGTGTTTATAAAAAAAAAACTAATTTAGTTTTAAAGCATTTTAAAGCTGTTATATTCTGAAAGACGCATTAAATTTGAAAACGAATGAATTAAAAATGACCCAGTCGTTGAAAATGACCGGTATGTTAGTCGTTGAAAATGACTGATAGTTCAAAAAGCCCTATCGTATTTTTCCAAAAATAAGACCTAGCCCGGAAAAAGAACTGGCCTGAATTTTAAAAATGATTTTAATATAAGCCCTCCCCTTAAAATAACACCTAGTCAATAGCGCGAAATTATTTTGACACAGTCGATGTGAATCTAGTGACTTGCAAGACATTCCAGAGAATGATGATATGTTTATTTTAGAATAATTTATGTTTAACATTGTTTTAAATAAAAACGTGGTATTTATAAGTAATTGAATATCTGTTTTCATATTTTGTATATTTGTGATTCTTGTGATTCTCTGCTTTGATAATATGTTTTTGATAAATGAAAATGAAAGACATCTCCCTAAAATAAGCCCTAGTGGTATTTTTCGAAAGTAAATTAAAATAAGACCTGTCTTATTTTCGGGAAAACACAGTAGTTACAACCTCCCTATAGCTAAATTCGGCCCTGATTGTAACCATGGACATTCGCACCGATGAACCTTTGACCAACGAAAAATTCTTCCTATACTCTAGCATTGCAAAATTTTCGGGGCTTATTTCAAGAGTTGGTTTGCGAGTTTGCGCCTGTAAAATGGGTTATGAGTTTCAAAACATCATTATAATTCATCGCATACAACAATTTGTTTTTTAAAAGTACCGGTAAATTTTTTTAGCCCAGTCTATCGCAGCTATTTCAACACTAATTTTTTATTACTGCAATTAAATTAAAACTCCTAAGAACACAGAGTGATCAATGAATTATCTGATTTATATTTAAATTTCCGAAACACGACTGAAAACTAACGAATAGAGTTCAAAAACCCGAAAACGAGGTAATGTTTACGACCGCGCCTGAAAATCAAAGTGTAGGTTTAGGTATTCCGTGGCGTCTGCAGCTGCCGTAATACCATGGCGGTATTTCCACACCATGGCCGCTACGGCTAAACCTATGGTGACTGACTTTTTAACTGCCACAAACCAATGACGTTACCGCGGCAGCAAATTGAAAACCAATGGCAGGTAAAATTTTGCTGCCGTAACCATGGCAGGTGGGCCGTAAAGACAGGACTGTCCCTTATGGTGACAAATATTGGGTAAGTTGGAACGTTTTTCTTATGGATACAGTTTTGATGGATTTGGGGTTAGGGTTTAAGTAGATATAATTCCGCATGATCAATTAAAGTCTGGTACATTAATTTGTGAATATACCATTAATACTGATTACTGTATAGCGCTATAAACCCATGGCAAGAGCTGCCGCGGTTCGTTCGTGGCAGGAGCTGCCATGAAGTGGTAAGAACTACGCCTCTGAAAATCTGTTTGAGCGGATGCGAAAAGGGAGCATTGTTACGTCACTTTTTGCATCTTGCTGATTGGCCAATGTCACAAAGTAAACAAGGAAGTCGATGCTCGGGGAAAGGTCCATGGTCGTTGCACCTACAGATATTTGCATCCATGGCCATTTTATTCCATAGATATTTAAGCCAATAAACATTTGCATCCATAAACATTTGTACCCACAGATATTTGCGTATTTGTTTCGAGTATACTAACGTCAATTAAAAATTTGAAACTATTTTGCACTCTTCAATCTATTTTATCGCTAATTTGCTGACTTGATTCTCCAACATGCCTAGGAAATCATGACTGATTTCCCGCCCAAACGTTGAGGTGGATAAGACTGATCACTATAGCTATTCCTTGTAGGCAGACTATCATGTTTGTGAAGCACGACGGTGCTGAGATCCCGTTGTCGGCAAACCAAGACAAAATCAAAAACTCGTTTCGGTAAAAACATGGTTCGACGATCTTTTATCACCCAGAATGCTATGTTAATTTCACTTAGAGCTTTCAAATAAAAAGTCGCACGCGAGAAATGTTCAGATTTGCAGCTTTTAGCTAGATGAAGTCATGTGTGTTGTCTCTAACTTTCACAGCTTGCCCACTTTCGTGAAATATCGAGTGTGGCATGTTTATTAAGAAATCACAAGTAAAAGAATGCGTCAAAAAACTCTAAAATATAGAAGTATTTGGTGCATTTGATCACTGAAATGTTGATAACTTATGCCTAACATTTTCTTTCTCATTTTCACAGTTTGTTTGATGCTGTATTCTATCGATTGCTTGGTTGGAATACTTATCAAAATCTCTCCACTCCATTGTCTCTTCTTTTTTCTGTTTGTATTTGCTTTCAAAAAATCCGGTCTAGAGTTTTTAAAATTATACATAGAAATATTCTTTTAAACACGAGCAGTCTTTTGAACATGTGCGGGTAATATATATTGAAAACACATTCATGATTATTTTGCTCGCAGCTAAGATAGTTCAGAACATCATTAAATTGAGATAACGAACAAATTCGTAAATTTGTGGTAAAACTAAAACTATCTTTTGTATTAATTGAGTAAGTTTCAAGCAGAATGTCCTTATTTCAGTTTAAGTATAGTTTGTTAAACTTAAAAATATGTTTATTCTAATAATCTTAAGAAGTTGTAGTATTTCAACTCGAACTTGAACTATAAGGTGATTGATTTAAAATGGGTGTAAGCTATTCTGTGAACAAACATGAATTTCATATTACAGACGGACGCCACCTCAGTGCATAATCTCACATCCAGAAAATGTTGCAAACTTATTGGGATTGAACTGTACAGGCTAAGTGAACTAAATTTTCAGGGTATCAAGTAAATAGTGATTTAACTTACCTTATAAAAAATTATTATCAACAAAGTCAATATTACAATACCAACGGCAACACCAATGCCGATGAAAAGTATCTGCGAAGGCCACCAAATTGGAACGTCATCGGACAAGTTATAATTATTGATCAGTGTGGTTGAAATCTGAGCAAAATGGATTGATTTTATAGCGAACATTAAAAACATATTCAACCAATTATTAGAATTATCATAACATTCAAGACATTCTCATAAACCAATGAAGACAGATGCATTTTCTAACACCTGTCTGTTTCTTACAGTTTTGAAACCACGTGAAAGAGTGATTTTATGATTACTAGCCAATTCCATTCAACGTGGAATAAATTGGATAGAAACGTGGTATTCAGGAGAAAAGTTTCAGGGTCAGGCCTGTAGTATGAGAATAGTCTATAACAGGGATTCTCAAACTTTTGATGTTGCGGAGCCCTTGAAAATGTTGACCATTCTTCACGGAGCCCCACAAATAAATTTTGAAAATAACGCAGACAAAAAACACATATCATTTGCTGATAAATATTCCCGAGTAAGTTAAAATTACTTTACCTAATTTAATTGCTAAACTTTTTAATCTGCATTTCACAGATAAATTATATATATTAGGTCTGTAAAATTGAAAACTTGACAAACACATTAATGAACTCGAAATGAGGTCGAACCACCTCACTTTTGATATTTTTGGAAGACTAAGGAAGTCGCTCCTAGCATGCGCGATTGCATTTTGTTAAAATGCGACTTTCTACGATATGTGACAATATATAAGGTAATTGTGAAGATTATTAATCAATTTGTTATTGCGAACAAAATACATTTCAATCCTTCGTTTTTTTGTTCACTTGACTTTGTTGTTTCTCGTTTGATGTCCGCGGATTGGCATGGTAATTTTGGGCAGTAATGATTTTATATTGTCGTAAGTCCACGCACCCACAGGTTACATTGAACACAATGAAGCCAATAAACAAGGCATTTTAACATGCAGGCATCGGTCAGGGATTGCGCAATTGTAAATTGTACTCTTTGAGATTTTAACACCGCTGAGAGAACAACTCAAATTTGATGAATCCCAAGATCGCAAAAATAGGATTCCAATCTATTTATAGTTGGCAGTTTAGCACTTATTTTATATCATTTTAGAATATAGTAATAGTATTTCCCATTTTGATAATCGTAATTGTAATCTCGACTCATAGGCAAGTAACGAGAAACACAATTAAATTATTATGACACGACATTTTGAATGCTCGCATCGGCCATGGATGGAAACTCGTTATCCACTGAAAAAGTTTTATTTTTATCGAGTGGCCTAATAGCGAGTAGTGGTGCCAGGGAATTTTTAATTCCAATTTTGAACCCCCCTCTCTCTCTTTTAAAAATCCTGGCTGCGCTTCTACTTATAGATAATGTAATATTTGAATTACGTCTCGTTGCGATATTTCGACGCTATACTGTTGTCAGATTTTATTAATGGTGTTATTGCTTCTTTGAACAGTTACAGAATAGCCAAGATCATATTTTGACAAGTAATCGAATAGCTCGCGGAGCCCTGGGGCTCCGTACGGAGCACTTTGAGAACCTATGGTCTATAATCACTATTTTTAAACTTTTAGAACATGTTTGATATTGATTTTAAACATGACGACAAAAGTTCATAATCACAATTTTAAAACAAGAACATGTTTGATATTGATTTTAAATATGAGCAATCTATTTTTTTTTCTTTATTATTAGTCAACTTGGGCTTTGGCATGAAGGAATAGATCCAATAATAGGGTAATAAACAACTGTGATAAATCTTCATTAGAGCGAAAATGTAATGTAATTTATTAAAAAGGTTGGCAATCAGTTGGTTCAAGTTAAGGTGTCCTAAAATTGCGATGTCCTACACTTGTTCTGCATATGGTCGCCTCACAGCACATTTGTATATATACAGTGGGACAAGTGTGGTAAAATTGGGAAATGACATTTTTGAAAAAGTTTTGAGTTATGCAAAATTTGAAAGGTTTTATTTTTCTGAACAACAATTTATATGGTACTATGCTTCATAAAAAAATGTATTTTAAAATGTTGAAATTGCCCACCTCACGTTTTAAAACTTCTGGTTCCAAATCAATAAAAGGAGATTCTTCAGATGAATACCTTAGTTCTGTTGTGATGTATGTTCTCCATGTTTTCAACTAAAAAAAAGCAAAAGAATTTTTATGACTTGGCAAAATAATATGATCTTGTTAATAAAACAAACCTTAATTGTTTTGCCCCATGAGTATCTAAAATGTAGATTTATTTGTATATTTTCTTCTGGTTTAAAACTGGATACTGTACATTTTTGCCTGTTACATATGATGTTGTCTGAAAAACAAGAAAACAACATGATTCATTCTCAATTATTTAATACTCTTAGCACACTGATACATAGGTCAGACCTAGCCAACATTATTAAACATTTGTTGCATGTAAAAAAAGTAAAACAAAAGGGTTAGTGTGTTCAAATTCTATAACAAAAACTTGGTGCAGCCAAAGATGCTTGTTCAAAGACAAAGACTGTTTTTTTAATCGATATCAAGATTATTCATAGCAGATAAAGTAGCTTTTGAATATAAGATACAAGTGAGATGACGATTTCAGATCAAAATCTTAGATGTGTTTTATGCCATGAAACCTTTACTCCTTCAAGTATATATATGTAGGCGAATAGATAAGAGTTTCGAAACAAAACTATTTTTTATATTTTATATAATAAACTGAACCTTCATTGCACTTCATCCATTTTCCTTGAAAATTTGACGTTATATTTGTTCTCAGATTCATGATAGTTGAATTAAGTTGTTGATTTCCACACTATATTAAATAAAAGTTTTATAGGTTGCGATTTTCTTTTAAACAAGGTTGACAGATGACAACAGCTAAATTATATAACCTTACAATATAAGAAAATACACTAGATAATACAGTATTATTAAAAACATTTTATTCACTTACACACAACACTTACTTGGCATTTATGCAAGGGAATACATCTCACATTCAATAAATTTAGGACACCTTGTATACTTGGCAGATTATATGGCCACAGAATCTGAGGAATAAAAAATAATTTATTAAATAAGCTATATAATCTGTGGATAATGTAAATCAACTTTCCAAGCACTCAATATTATTGAGGTCACCCTTCAATAATGAATACCTCTATTTGTGATTTTGGTACTGTAACATAGCCTTGGTTGATGAGGTAATACGTGTTGTCAAATGAAATTTCCTTCATTTTTGACAGAGATGTATTTTTCACAGTGTTCTTTGAAATATACTGATCATCACTGTAGTCACTGCAGAAAAAATGCGGAAAAAAAATTTAATAATTGTGGTATGAAAAAATAGAAACATGGAGTTATATTGAAAAAATTATTGAAGACAACATTATAGTATTATTATGAATTTTAAATAATTCAGATAATCCTAACACTATTCTAAAAATAACGACAAATACTGATGACACCGGTGTTGGAAAACCTTTTCAAACGATACGATTACATTCATTTTTCGAATAAAATTCAATTGGGGAATTTAAAAAAGTGAAAATATAATATAAACTTCACCTACCTTTCGAGTGATACATGACCAGGAAAGTTCAAATAAAATGAATTATTACATTTGTTGTCAAAATAATTCAACTCTGGACTAGAAGATGTTACTGCTGCACTTATTTTGAGTAATCCTCCATGGAATTCTGAATTTTCAACAATTCCAAACTGAAAGCAATGTAAATAATCCTAAATTAAATATTAACTAGAAAGTTGTATTCTGTTTTCCAATTAAATTGTATAGATAATATTATTCCATCTAAAACATCCATTTTACGTATATATTCTAAGCTTTTATGTTCAAATGTCTTTCTATTGTAGGTCAAATGTTTCTTGTTTTCATATTGCTGAGAATAAACAAGTTTTTGCAGTAAAAGTTTATAGCAGTTTATAATAAAACTGCAGCACACAAATTTTGATTGAAAAAAAAAACAAATTAGTAGGAGAATCATTACGTTTTGAAGCGTGATGGGATCAATATTATTATTGATTGAATTGAACATGAAAAAAAAACGAGTGGAGGAAACAAATGAAAATTTTGCACATTATATTTAAAAAAGAAATACAGTAATTTTGAAAAGGTTGTAAGACATTTTATTCTGTTGTTCAGCTATCCTGCTCTATTGTCATTTAGAAATTTATTAAATACTATATACTCATACTCATACTACAGAAAAATAATTGCAAAAGTTTTTTATCGCTAATATTGAATATACATGAAATACAATAAAGACGACACAATCCAACATCATCATTATTATCTTATTATCCAGCAAAGGGGAGTTACTCAGAAAACTAAGGTTTTCACCAAAGATCTGTGTTCTCATCTCAATAAGTTGTACCTGTAATTTTGCCAAACACATCACAGCTCTGTGGAAAATTTTGTTGATGTATTTTAACCGCAGTGTCTTAAATAAAGTTTTGTTTGATATATTGTAATGTCCATGTTCTATATATCTGCCATGTTCATCTTCATTGTGCTCTATCACAAAACAGTTCGTACTCTGAAGATAGAAAAAAATGTTTAAATGTATTTATATAAATTTCTGATTCTGCATGTTATTTTAATCAACAGTATAATTTATCAGATAAAAAACCTGACACATTAGATTTTTGTTAGCTCACTGAAATACAGGTAAAAAGTTACAAACCTATAACCAATGTACCTGTGGAAATGACATCTTACTGAAGTAAAGGCTTGAATTATATTTGATTTCAACTTTCACTTCATATGCTTTGTCTTTAATATTTGTGACGTTCACATGTAAATTAATCATGCGCTTGTCATTAATACTGACAGATTTAATGCTGTGATTAAGTATTGCCGAATCCTCTATGAAGCATCCAATTTTTAAATTCGAGAAACGCTCCTTATTTATACAATTCTTGATGAAAACCACCTGGAAAATATTAAGACAGTGTCATATCTGTATAAAAATCAAAAGATAATTACAAAATATGGATGTTGGAATTCGGTAATAAACAACTTTTATCTGCTACAAACCTTTGTCTGTACAGGATTTTCATCATAAATATTCAGCATTGGTGACATGCTTTTATTTGAACTTGTGTACGCCATACTATAGTTCATTTTAATTATAATGTCAGAGGCAAGATCAGGCAAAATGTGTTCCTGTTGAAAATAAAACATGATACTAGGTATTGTCATATATATTTAACCCGTATTTACTGCACGTTTAGAACATTTTTTACGTTACGTTTACGAACCATCATTTACGTTTTAGAACCATCAAATATAATTCAAAATCGTGTTTGTATAAATATGGTCTCCATATTCCAAGCATTTATTAACCTCCCCACGCTGTTTTAAGTCAGTAAATATCAGCTAGTTCAAAACATCTTTCATAGTCAATTTTGTAGAGCAGGTAGTCAAGAGCGTAGGCAGCGCGAAATTGTGGGGGGATGGGCACAATTTTATATTTTATTTTGTATAATTAGGTAATACGACGCTCACTCGTGCCATATAAGCGCGCATTTTCATCTATCTTGTTTGGTTCATTTAGTGAAAGGATTATTGATAGCAAGCCAGGAAACGTCAGGTGTTCAGTAAATCGTTCAAGAATATATGAAACGATGTCGTACTGCAAATGCCGCAAAACTGCATTTTAAAAAAATGTTGAAATTTTTTTTATGTAACACATCAGATAAGATTGACACTATCTAGTGGCAATGTTATTAAGACCTACTTTAAGACTTCCAGTGGATGATTTTGAGAGAAAAGAACAAGATTAATGAGAAACATATGGTTCGTGTAATGATGACAAATTTTTAAATTAATATGATAGCAATGAACTCACTGTCAACATCAAAGTTTCATTGATACATGTTGTACTCCCAGTTTCAGCAATAAGTTTATTCTGAGGTTTAGGAAAATGAATTCCACAATTGCCATCAAATTTGTAAGTATCAACAGATAATGCATAATTCAAATCTATTTTCATGTATAATATTTAGCTGAGTTTTTGCAAATTACTACTCTAACAATATTTATTATATTAGATTCATTGACAGTGCTTTTGGAAAGCCATATTTAATTATTAAATACACAATAAATAAGGTAGATAAGAATGCAAGTCCTTTCAAGAGTCAGACACTAAAGCAGGGGTGGGCAGCATAAGGCCCGCGGGTCGGGTGCGGCCCGCGACGAGATTGTGACCAGCCCGCTGACTGTATCCAACCAGTCAACCACACTCTGTAATGTGGTCCGACGCATCATTCCTGAAAGTTGCTGATCGCTCTGCTCGCACCGCACTGTCAGTGCGAGCTGGTGAAATAAACAATGTGAACAAACAATTGCGTTAGCACACTTGTTAAACGAACAATATAAGGTCAAAGCAGAGAGCGTTGTGAACATTCCCCACTACTGTTATCAGTTATATTTAGATTCTAAATAGCGAATAAATATGTGATTAAGATATTGAATACTATTCATGTAATAATCCGGCCCACCAAGGACTCCATTTTCCCACATCTGGCCCGCCGACTAGAGAAGTTGCCCACCCCTGCACTGAAGATATGACAGTGAAACAATATTAGAGCACACTTACCTATATTTTTTGGAATATTTTTTCCAGTTACCATGAAGCATATTTGTATTACTGTACAAAAGTTTGGTACACCATTGGAGTTAGTATCACATAAGCCATTGCCATAAGGAGATGAAAGATTTATTAATTTGGGTATTGCAATCAATTTTGCTGTTACATGAATAACTGGTTTAGATAATATGACTAAGACTTTGCTGCTTCCTGGTGCCCCAACAGCTACATCTGAAAATGAGAGATTTTTTATTTATACATCATTCACATAAAGATTAGGTGTCATCACAGAGCAAACAAAGAAATATAAAACTTCTAACCTGGATGTCCATTTCCGTCAATGTCCACTTTTGCATGTAAGGAAAACCCAAAATAAACGAGTTTTGTAATCATTGTTGAAGCTTTCAAAATTTGAGATGGATTTTTCAACAGTTCGGACAAATTTTCTCCACCATTGTAAATGTAGATAGCTCCTAAAATGTGAACTCTCTGTAGCTTAGTCAGTCAAGCATTAGGAATATCTTCTTATGGCAGATGGCTTGTCTCGTTTATTCTGCTAATTTCTATTTTATGATTCAACCTTGAAGGTTGATTGATCATGCTAAGTATATGAAACACGCTTGTCATTGCACCCCTAGTTAGATACTCCCTACAGGTTAGCAAATCTAAATCCTCCCTGCCATTGTAGGATTTGTTATGGCTTTCTTTAAGTCCATGCATCTGAAACAAATAATTAAATAACCATTCCCACAGTCGGCATGGATTGGTAATAAGATAAAATACTGTGGATTTCAATATGATTGAACAGTATTATCAACTTTCCTCTCGCATTGGATAGACATGAGAAAATCATGTCCAGCAACACCCATAAAATGCTAACATCAGGAAGAATGGTGATGTACTAGATCAGACTTGATTAGCTGTTGCTATTGTTTCATACCATCACCATCATAATTAGAGGGTGCTCCAATGACAACATCATAATATCCATCTTGATTAAGATCATTAGCAGCAGCAATTGCAAAACCAAATCTTGCACCTTTTTCAGATGATCCATGTAATAGAATTCTTGATGAACGAGTTGTTTGATTTCTATCTGAATGATTTAGAAAATAGCTTTACAGATCCAAAAATTGTGAATGTTTGAGATGACTGGGCCATAAAATTTAAACTTTGCTTGTGTCTTTACTTTTGACTTGTTATCTCCCACAACAAAAAATAAACTCACTTGAAACATATACTACAACTTGTCCCATATCCTCATATTTTCTCATCATCAATGGTGCTCCAATTAAAACTTCATCCTGTCCATCAGAATTCATGTCAGTCATACATACTGAATATCCAAAGTAGCTTCCGACTTGATCTCCGTAAAACTTCTCAACAATTTTAGTCTGATCTGTAATTTAAAGTGAATAATTTGTTAAGGATCAGGAACCTGCTGATTAAATCAAAGCATAAAATACTATAGAAGATTTGTAATTATTCAAAGAAATTCATAACTTACTATCAATCTGTTGAAAATTGATAATGAACACACTTCCCCTATTCAAAAATCTTGGTGCTCCAACTGCAATCTCATGAGCACCTGGGAAACTGTATGAGCCAATACTAATAGAATACCTGAATGCAAAATATTCATTTTCAATTCATCTTCATGTACTGATTGTGTTATAAACATCCTGTTACTGTTAAAGTTTGTAATACACTTCATCATGACTTTATATCCTTAAAATTTTTTATTGAAAACATGAAACTGATATTCGCCATTTTTGTCCCTAAATTTAAGGGTTGATATTAAACAAATGGTTTCTTTCTTCGATAATATCATATTGGTAATGAAAAAAGACAAAATAAATGCAAAACAACTACATTCAAATTATTAGAAATACTGCAAACCCAAGATATGAATGAGACAATGATTTTGAGATGATTTTGTTCGATGTATCGAATACTAATTGTTCTATATCTTCTTCTTCTTCATATTTATTCAAGGTGACATTTTCGAGCAGGTGAGTGTTAATTTCAGAAAAATATCCTGATCCTGAAAATTCATCAGTTGCAGAATGTATATCTTCATTTTGCGAAACACAAAAATTCTGCCCGTCATGTTCAACTGAAAGACGAGTATCCTGGTTTATCATTACTTCTATTCAAAAATTAAAAAAATCACATATGTTGTAGGCTTTAAACTTTTTGTAAGAATAATTTCAAGTAAAAAAGGTACTGAATATAGCCATATATTCGAGATTTTCTCAACTGTAGTAAGTATAAACTTATACTTATACCAGCCATATATTCTTGATTTCCTGAACTGTCAAATGAAATTATAACTCTCCGCTTTTACACTCACATTTTTATGAGTGCTCGTTTTCCAATAAAGTTGACAAAAAAAAAATTAAGCAATATTCTCACTGTGCATATGACACAAAATGAACATAAGTCATAAATACCTGAATTATTATTACTTATATTGAACAATTCTAACAAACTCATTTTCATCATATAATTAGCATCTTTAGAATATATTGCTATTCCTCCACTCCAATTCTGTAAGCCAGGTAGCCCTAAGATTGGTTGGTCATTGATAAAGCCAGCAGATAAGCCTGCTTCACACTGTTGAGTTGTAAAAGTTGATCCTGATTTGGAGAACATTATTATTAAATATATGATAATCTTTGTGATTGGATAAAAATTGCTAAAAAATCTTCAACGACTGAAGTACAATACATTGTTTTAGAACCATTTTGAATTTGTGAGAAATGGTTTGAATCTTGAGGTTTTTAGATGATTTTTTATATAATATTTTTATATGTCCGTCACTCCCAACAAAGTTCGCACAAGCATGTACAACTAAGTGAAGAACTTCTATATTTTGGAAGGACTTTTTATCACTCATTACACTATGAGTGAGGTGGTGGGCATGAGATTTGAAATTAAATTTTTAACCTGTATTGCCAACAAATTCAACTTCAAATGTATATATTAGAATATAAGTGCATGTGCGATGCTAAGTCAGGCATAATTGCCAGTGATCAGTAAACAAAACAAAATTGCGGAGTATATTTGAATCAACCTACCTTGATTTGGAAATGCAAATAGTTTCTTTTGTATTTGTCCCTGAATACTGATAAGGTCATTGTATGAATCAACAGAATACATATATTGATCATCAGGATTGAAGGAAATATTTTTTAATTCCTCATCAACAGATTCTCCAACACCAATTGCAAACATTGTAATTCCTGGCAATTTTATTAATTTACATAGAATTGCTCATGAATTTACTAATCCTGTTGAGAGGAGGTATAGCAAAACTAAATAACATGTTGTTTATATGCATTCCTTGGTCAAGTGTGAGATTATTGATGGCTATTTGTTTGGTATTCATTTTTTCAATATTAGTATTTTGTATCGATTGGGTTTCTATGAGACTAAGTGCTTTTTTGTCTTCTATGGTTTCGCGCCGGTGGATCCGTATGCATATAATGCAAGAATGCTGTACCAAGAGTGAAGATAACTATCCTAAGTGATGCAAAAGTCTTCCTGGCTCTTGAATTACTTTAAAATGTAGCACTCGAAATAAGTGAAATAAAAAACCTTTTGCTTTGGCTTTTTCTGCTGGTCCAACTACATCATCCTGTGATTCACCATCTGTTATTATCACAGCAACGTGTTTTGCATCTGGTCTCATACCCCTCACACATTGAAACATTTCTTCATTTACAAATTTAATTGCTGAAAATATGAATAATGTATTTATAGATGTCACAGTAATCAAAATCTAAAAATTACAGATATATAAAACAAAATTACAATGTTAAACTGATGAATTTGTTCTCTTTGTAAATATAAAGTTGAACACCCAGCAACCAAGTGTAATTAATTCAGAAGTATATAAATTCTCATGTTATAACACTGTTAATTAAAAAGGTAAAGAAAAATCAGCTGAATTTTAAGAAGATTTCAACAATGCTCAATTATAGTAAAACTTATAAAATAACATGCTACTGTACTGATACCACAGTACTTTTGATGATACTATTTACTCACTTGATACTATTTTTACTGTCCCATACAGCATACTTAAGGGGAAATGTGTATTTGGATCAAGAATAAAAATAATGGCCAAGTTTTATTTTTAATATAGGATGTATTTGTATTATTATTATTAGGACTGAACCTCTTCCAGTTGCAGTTCCGCCTCTCATATACTTGATTTTGCTGATAGCCTTTTTCAAATCGTCCAATTTATAATATTGGTTAAGATAAAATTCTGTTTTTGGATTTGATGAGTATTGGACAACTGCAACCTGAAAAGAATATTAAATATTCACATTTATATTTAGTGATATAAATACTAAATATTATTAAATTTTAATATGAATTTGAAAAATTGTGAAATATTTTTGTGATTATTTAAATGAAATAGGGGGGAAATAAATTTTGGAAATGCTCCATCAATATAATTCAATTAGTCTTGCATCTTGTTAAACTTCATCTACTATAAATACCTTTGAAGAAATGAGCCTTTTTAAAACCTCATACCTGAGTTAAATGTTTTGCTATTGGTAGAGCACTGACAACATTATTCAACCATCGCATCAATTTCTTGAAGTCAAATACGTTCACGCTATCTGATCCATCAATTACAAATATAAGATCCATTTTACCTTCACTGAACATCTTCAAAAAATAGACTGGTTGAAATGTTAATTTTATTTTTATCCTTTCAAATACCTAAGGATACTCACAAATTCTTTGCAAGGTGAAAGCATTTTTACTGTACTCCATGATAATGTTTCATCAAACAAGTAGCACATTCCTAGCATGTGATTTTGTCCTCTGTATAAGTGATTAGACATCGGCTCACATGCAAGAACCTGCCCTACAAATTGACAAGGAAAGGTGCTGAATAAGGTGCTTTACTATTCTTTTAATTTTCTTCAAATATCTACTTTAAAACCTGTTTTTTCATTTGTAGATAATGTCATTCCGAATAAACGGTTCAAAGAGTTGTTGTCTTCTATGCAATTTCCATTCAATAGTGTAATATCATCCAATCCAATGTCTGATTTGTAATCCTGGCCCACAACACCTTCAATTAATATCTGAAACAAATAAATAAGAATGGTAGTGTTATTACCTAAGCCATCTGTGTGATATTTGTATATTTCGAACAGTAACAATGTTACAGTAATTCTGTATGAGTGGGCAAATAACACCACGACACACAAGATGTTTTGTCCACCTGCCTGTGAGTCCCTCAAATCTTTCATTCTATAACCATAATCATGTAAGTACCTGGTATGGCTCAAAAGATGCTACAGTAACCCATCCCTCGTGCCACATGTCTCCTTGATCATGATCTATTGACCATATCATTCTTGGCCCGGTCATATTAGTGTAAATATAGAAATTCAAACTCCCCATACTTTCTCCTCTCATATGATACCAAAACCTGTCATGGCAAAGACTTGTTATCTTATTTTCATACCAACTAAACAGATGTGAAGTGTGATTGATATATATTGTGTATATATAAGGTTTTTTAAAGATTCAATTAGCTATGAATCATCTAATTTTCACATTAAGGAATACATTAAAACATGATATGCCATTGCGTATTAGATGAATTTCTTTAATATGTATTAATGCTAATGTCAAATTTAATCATCATTTCATTGCTTTTCATACCTCACACAAGCGCCATTGGAGGGTTTCAATACAGGCGTCGACATTACTGCTGTTTCTCCTCCAGTTCTGGGATTGGAGCATTCCAATAGCATGTAAGATCCCGTGTCTGGCTCTATGAACAACATTACCAATAATGTAATAAGTAAATAATTTTACAAGAGCTTTAAGCGTTAAAAAATAATTATGAAATGGAATACAGAAAAAAATTCACGTTGTATTTGAAAATAAATAGATAAATATTCAAAACACTACTTTGTATTGTATGATCATGTGATGGCCCCGTCTGATCGGAGCCCGTTGCTCCACGTTTAATTTCCCAATCGAAATCATCATCGGCCATCTGTGAAAGAGATGTCGTCTCGAAATCGTATTTCAGAATAGGTCTGTCTAAATAAAAATCATTTCGCTGTAAGACAGTAAAAGTAGGAATACTTCCGCACATAGTGCATTCCCACATGGGCACAATTATTCTAGTTACCTTTAATTGGAGAATTGAACAAGATCCCTCGGGTTGCAATATCATGTCCAATACTGTGCTCATAAAATGGTGTTCAATTAAGCGTTTTAAGTCGTCCGCAATTATTACAAATACCCATACAGTTCATACAGGCTCACTTTAAAAATCTCACATAAAATCAAAATATCAATTTGAATTTTATTGAATTCATAGCAGTTATTGATATTCAGTTCAGAATTGAAGTCAACCAATTCTTTGTCCGAGTTAAAACCTTATCACACATTGGTATTTAAAACACTGCGCAAAGATGAAAAAGGCAAAAGAGACGCGAGTGATTTCATCCGAGAATTAAATAAATTGATACAATTTGGGTATTTTTGCAGGTTTGCGCATACCGTTCTCTAAGTTGTTGTCCTTGTGAAAAAGTGAACAATGCCCCGGCAATTTCATTTCTCCTTCAACTCCTTCCCGTAAAGTACATGAATAAAGGACGCCCGCTGTTGTACCAATGAGATTCGAAGTTGACCCAGGACTGTCATCTCTAGGAACACTGACAAGCAATCTGAAAATATTAAAATTACTATAAAATATCGTTGAATGATAGGATTTATTGATAAATTGGGATTTACTTTTGAAATTAAAATATACGCAGAGAATTTCGTTATGGAATTTGTTTGGTTCCCCCATGGTATGCGAACCAAGATGGCAAAACGTAGTGTGTTTACCAGGTTAGGGTTAGGCCATATTTTTATTCCAATTTTCCTTATTTTAGTTCTATTACAAGTTCAGGAACTAGCCAAGTGACGCCCGTAGTATTTGTACCACATATTACGTTCCGATGTCCGCCATCTTGGTTCGTATACTACAGGGTTACCATTTGTCTATCAATTTACCATGTCGCATTGCATTATAAAAACAGTGATTTATTGGATTTGCCCTAAAATGTTGCAGTTCTTGTAGTAAGTTATTATTACATGCAGTTCGGTTACAGTTATTTTTCAAACAATTTGACGGAAAAAACAGAAGGGAAAAGATGAGTTGATGAGCTCTGAAGTATTGTAAAAAAAAAGAAATGTGAAACTACGTCATTTTGTCAAACGGGAAGTACGTGCAATTCCAACGTCAATTTCGGATAACGCACATTTTACACTAGACATACATATTTTAATTTGAACAAACTAATTCAGATATATAAAATATTTATATCCCACCTTGTTTTACCATCGCTGTTTTTGTGCAAAGCCACGTCATAACCAAACTGGGAATCAGGCTTGAAGTTTGATAACATTACGCCCGTAGATAAATCTTGTAAATTGAAACTAGCGACAAATTTGAAGAATTCCATAAATATTACATATTTCATTCCAGATGATAATACACAATCTTTTCTCATTGTGGTATCTAACTCTGCCATTTAATTAAATATATATTCGTTTAGACTTAAACTTATGAACGCTGATTAATTTATTGCCAATGTAAAGCCTAACACAATAGTAACTGTTCGAGTTGAGGTAGCGGATTATTACAGCACGATCATTCACATCGGTACATATACTACAGGGAAGCACTCCGCATATTCAGGTAGGATTTTCAGGTAGGTTACCGGCAAGAACCTAATCAGGAACTCCTACACGGTGTCAAAGAACAGTGATACTAGCTTGACCGCATGATCTACGTTAGCTTCTTATGATCTACGTTAGCTTCTTTAAAAAATAAATCAATGAATAAATAAATAGAACAAAAGGAATGTCTACCGTCATGTCGCACACCAATAATGCGATCGGTTCTAGATGATTTTTCCTCCAAATTAACAACAACTCTATTAACATAGAACCCTTTTCACTACGTTAGAAAAAACAGTATCAATTTTCAATTATTTTCATTTATTTTACACCAGTTCCTACCACTCTTCCCCAGCGAATGAAATCGAAAATGAATTTTTTTTTGTTTCCACATCAGAAATAACGGTTCACAGATATCAACGAACGAGATTTTCAGTTGCATTCACCTGATCCTATTTATTATTAAGTAACCACGCATGTGATCAGCCTTTTATAAGAAACGTATTTGAAATATTTCCCAAAATAGTTGTAGCCCGGAAGACGTCTTGGTTGAAAACTTCCTCGAATGAGGAGGTTTTACGTCATAATAATTGTAACCATGTTTCGGTAGTTCATACGTTTGTACAGATTCATTTATTTTTTTATACTTTCACATCACAGCCTGTGAAAAACTGTAACAAATGACGCCAAATAGCGAAATCGGAATGCAAGAGGGTATAGATTAGGATGTGAAAGATAATTTTGATGATTAATAAGCCTATTTAAAACTATAAATTTAACACTTTTCAATATTCCAAAAATTCGGCAAAGAGTTTCACAAATATGATTGGCTGGTCTATAAGTGGCAAATAACAATTTTTTTTAAAACCCAGGATATAAAACTTATTTTTGCTACGTCTGCATATATTGTATTGGATTGTATTCAACTGCAAATAAGTAATATTGAATATAAGTTCAACTGCACTTCTCGAATAACTTAAAAAAAAACGCTCAATTCGATCTGTGGCGTCAGCTGTTCACTTTTTACTTTTGAAATTTCTATATATACCCAACTGGGCACTGCACTGCAAAGAAATAACAGCACCACCGTACAAAGCTTTTATTTTATTTTATATTATTTAATTTTAAATAGACGATTGTAAATTTAATTTGTTTGGTATTTACTGAATGCACCAATATTATGGATGTTTGCTATTCCTTCCAACTGTTAACCGGACAAAGGGACGTGGTTCTCTACATTTGGTGTTTTTCGAATCTCTTCGGGATACCTAAGAAACTCCCCATTATTGGTTGACCAAAATTCCATTGTTCCGAATAGAGTAAAACGAGCTAAATCTAAATTGCAGTACTTTTTTTTTTTGAGATGAAATGGTATACTCGATAACTAAACATCTACATACTTTTTAACTGTACGTAAAATCGTAAAAAATCATAAAATGTATACATTGAGGTTTGTTGTGTGGTCAAAGGTCGTTTATCGAACAACGAGAGGGCGGACTTTCCCCGGTATGTGGTGCTTCCCCCGTTTTGATGCTTAGGCCGAGTTTTTGCAACTTTCTGACTTTAGCCTTTATTTAATTTCAATAGTGAAAGACTCTTAAACTACGAAAGGATGCCTGTTGATGATTTATATGACACTGACAGTGACGATGAATTGCCACATGGATGGGAGGAAAGGGCGACCGAAGATGGATGGGTTTATTATGCAAGGTACGGTAAGATGCCTGAGCCTGTGCAGCTGGCCCATCTGCAGATCTGGCTACAGAGCTATGAGTCTATGACTGTACGGCAGTATGGTAGATGACTTTGCGACACTACCTGGTACCGTACTGTGGTACGGTGTATACTGCAGTAGTTAACTGGTGCAAATTTAGTAAAAACCCATGATTGGTACAAATGATGAAAACAAGTGAAAACTAATTAAACCACTGGATCATGTCTGTAAACCAGACTGGATTCCATGGCAGGTGCACGCCCGAGGGCGCTAGCGCTCCGCAAAAATGCACGCGAGCGAAATCAATTTTGCACGCCTAAAATTTGCAATTGCTCACCAATGTAAATCGGTTTAAATGGTTTTAAAATCAATAATCCAGTAATATAAAGATGCCAAAATATTATAACTCCACAATTGTCGACAAATACCAGCTTGCAAGATTTGGTCTGATCGAAATATTGCGAAGCAAAAAGACCATGGACCTTTCCCCAACCTTTGACCCGCGAAAAATTCCTCTCATTGTTACGTCCTTTTTTGCATCTTGCTGATTGGCCAATGTCACGAAGTAAACAAGGAAGTCGATGCTCGGGGAAAGGTCCATATCGTGTTGAATGATAGGAAATAGGAATCCCGTGAGAATAGTTATGAACGAAAAGATCGCCTCCGCACCAATGGCCAAGTACGGCTCTGATTCAGCGTATTTTTCATACAATAATTTAACACGAATGTACTGAACAGTACCGGTATCTAAAGTTGCTCAAACACTCCCAAAATTAGTGACAAAGTATGAAAATAATGTTTGGGGTCAAAGGTCAAACGTCCATTTTGCTCTAATTTGACGTATTTTTTATCCATTAATTCTACGTAAAAACACTACCAAAATTAATGACAAAGTATGTCCATTTTGCTCTGGTTCATCGTATTTTTTATCCAATAATTTTACGCGGATGTACTGAACAGTACCGGTATCCAAAGTCGCACAAACACTCTCAAAATTAGCGACAAACTGTAGAAATAATGTTTGGGGTCAAAGGTCAAACGTCCATTTTTTCTCTGATTTAACGTATTTTTTATCCGATACCGGTAATTTTACGCGGATGTATTGAGAGGTATCTGATGTCAAAGTCAGTTGCACGCGAGTGCAGTTGTTTTGCACGTCGTGAGCTATAATTGCACGCCAGGAATTCTTATTTGCACGCGGGAATTTCTGATTGCACGCCCGATTTCTCGTTCAAAAAGGCCATGAAATCCAGACTGGTCTGTAAATACATGTTGCGACTCGTGACGCAGACGCACACATCCTAAATTTTAATGAAAGTTCCGATAAATTCATGCAAGCTGAAATCATATAGCTTGCCAAAGCATAGCTACGATCGTCTAAAATAGCATCTGTGCCGGCGATATCGAACTCGCTAACGCCAGCGATCTTACTCGCCAGCGATATCGGGATTGTTACGACGAGAAAACGTGAGAAATAGCTTGCTCGACTTCGGTTAATTGTCTGTGCGTTTTGGATGACCATCGTATATTTTGGCTGGCTTCATTACGTCACTGTAACGTCGTAGTGACACAATTTTTGGATGACATAGTCAGGTGGGGGTTAGGAATGACATGAGAAAAAATTGTTGCACCATGCCCACTAGAAGTTACTGTGGTACGAAAGTATACGAGACCCCGAAGAGACGCACATGGACAACAGTGGAAAAAAACTAGAGAATAATTCTGGCGAATACCTTTGGTATCAAAGACAAACAAATTTTATTTTCTCATTTGCGACACCATAATTTTTTCAAATTCGAGTCAAAGTCAAGGGTAATTTTTCCTGATTCCAGATCTCTGCTTCACCATCCAAATCTGGTTACCCACAACTGACAATTGTTATCTTACATTGACTAATAAAAGGCTGCTGTTTGTCTTATCATTAAGCAGAGGAGTTATCAGCTTTCTGCTATTGTGTTAATTTACATTTAATGTATTTCAACAATGTTTATTTAATGAAGACTGCTGTGAAGATTTTTTTTCATGTTTGTTATATATATTCATTCATCTCTTGTTTGATGGTTCATTTTCATCTAATTTCAATCATGGCCTCAATTTATTGAAAAGAGTTTCTTATTAAAATATTAAAAATATCCAATAAACTGTCAGAGATATTGCTAATACACAAACAATCATGAAATTTGATATTATCAAATTGCACCAGACTAAACTGCCTCTTTTAAATAGTTTTATGTGTATGTTATTCTTGGGGATTCAAATAATATTGGCTTGATCGCATATGATATTGACTATCGTTTGTAATTATTGCTACAGTTTGTTTACTTTTCAGCCATTTGTTGAAGAAAACTCAGTGGGAAAATCCAAAAAGTGGAAAAAGAAAAAGAGTAGCTTCAGGTTTTTATATTAGGCTCATATATGATATCTATCTGGAACTCATTCTGATACACATATATCCCTGGCATGACATTAATTTACCTCAAACCAATTTTTAGGCATATCAAAAGTTCATGGTTCACGTTTATCATGACAACTTAGACTGAAGTTTACTTGGGAATGTTGAAATCTTTATCTGTTATCACTGCTAATTTGGACATCAACCCGTATGAAAAATAGAACTAACATGAAAAAATTGATAAACACTGAATGATTCTGAATCAATTAAACCCAATTTGGACTTAATCAATAGTCTACAATGTGGAATCTTTGAAACTTAGAAAATCTGTTGTCATCCCAAAACATGGGTACTTTCAACTTATCGCATTGAGAAAATGTTAAAGTGTTATTTTGACTTGAAAAATCGATTGTAATGCTAATGCTATTTGATTTATATGTGATGTCTAGTTTGCAACATCAACTAGAAGAAAATTGTATGAGCATCTTGAAAAATATTTACATAATCTTTCATATTTCTATCTATACCATTTTTTTTCAGAATTTGTTTTATTTTTCCAGAATTGCCTTATGGTTGGCAGAGGAAGGTTGATGAACAAAATAGAATTTTCTATGTTGAGTAAGTACTTTGTTGCACATGTGAACACATGTAACATGTCTTTCACATATGCAAGTGTGTATGATTCTGAAATATCTTATTTGTACTATGAATGGCAATTTGGTAATCTAAAATAAAATTTTATTTGACGATTTCTGACATTACTAAGATTTAAATTTAGTTTAGATGGGAGGCTGAATATCTGCCTCGCACTTTAAAAATCTTTTTGACTTTGTGGTAAGAAGACTGATTTTTTACACTGAAAACAATGGTTTATGATTGATTAGTCCTGTATTGTTTCTTTCACACCGCTCTGTTTTTATTGTAAATAACAAAAAATAAAACATACTTTTGAAGAAACTGTTGAAATTTTTAACTTTGCTTTTGACAATCACAACAATCAAATTGACCGTTCCTCTCAGTTTTAGCCACATTGATATGCATATATATATAATCTTAAAATCTTTTCAGTAGTGTATCAAACTTTTCTGTACACATGTTGAATATATATAATTACTTTTAGTCATCTGAATCATCGTACAACATATACTGATCCTCGTCTTGCGTTTGCATATGATGTTGAAGATAAAGATAGATATAGTTTTAGACAAAGGTTTGATTCCAGTAGTACTACAGATCAAGTATTAGAAGGAAGAGATCTCTCAGGGAAGGTTGCAATCATAACTGGTGCAAATTCTGGAATCGGTAAGTATGCCTTCAATTAGGGAGGGGGATCGAACATGAATTCATGAATTTGAAAATTAGTTATATTCGATACAGTTAGTTCTTGATTTTAGGAATAATACAGATTGCTTGCATTTGAAAATTTGTCACTTTGTATATTTGAAATCTGATGGTCAGACAAAAGATAAATCAAGTTTTACTCCCTACAATGTAAAAAAGAGAAAGAATATCTACGAAAACAATGTTTATTTCAAAGTTTCTCCATAGCCAAATTTAATTTATGAAGGTTTGTTTAAATTAATTACTCCGTTGAGCACACTCACAATGTGACTAAATCAAGGTTTAGGTAAAACTTGCATGGATATCTAACTGCAAGCACTTGAAGTTGAAGATGTTCGATAATTGCAGATCCTGCTGAGCTTTAGGATTCACTCGCCACCACACCTTTGGATAATTATTTGTTGGAGGATTGCTGGACTATTTGCACTGCAAGCGCTAGTTCACGTAAGGGCTGGTCGATTACGACTTCCTCTACCAACAAGTCTATGCAACTGAAACAAATAACTGGACAACGAATCCCATTTGTGACATAGACTGGTAACCGGACAAGAGGGCTGAGTTCAACATATGATTAAGTCATCTTATCGACTTTCTTCTCCTCCGGGATAAATATGTAAATCCTATCATATACCTAATTTATCTTGAAATTGGCCACTGGATTCCGAAGCAACAATACTGCTATTGTTTATTCCTTTGTGTTATAAACTTTTCATGTGTTTAATCAATAATGAAGTATGAAATGTTTTTTTATCATTGACTTTTTTAATGTTTGTTTAGGATATGAGACTGCTCGCTCACTTGCTCACCATGGTGCTCAAGTTATTCTTGCATGTAGAAACATAGAAAAGGGAAATGCAGCTGCAAGAGACATAAGAAAAAATAGAGTGAGTATAGGCTGTATAGTCGAGAGTTTTTTTTCGTATTTGAATATTTAATTTTACATAATTCTTTAAAGCAGATTTTTTTAACTTATGATTTATAAATGAATGCATGCTGCAACTATGGTAAGTCACATTATAGGTATGTTTAGCTGTGCTTTGTGGGTTTTTACTGGGTCATTATTTTGGTATTTGAAGGCTATTTTTGCTGGATTTGCTATGGTGCTTCAGCTAGATCCTCACACTTTATTTCTGTATCTTTTGGTTTTAATTTTCGATTATCAACATGTATTTAAATTGCTATATGAAATTTAATGCTCAATTTCTATTTTCCAGGAAGATACAAAAGTTCGAGTTATGGAAATTGATCTATGTTCTTTACAAAGTGTTAAAAGATTTGCTCTGGAATTCAAGACTACAGGATTGTAAGTTTTTAATGTTTGTCACAAGTTTGTGAATTGTGATTGAATGATAATTAGGATAGGATTTACATCTTTTTTCTGGAAGAGAGGGAAAGGTGATAAGACGGCTTAATCATATGGCGAACCAGGGCCTCTCGTTCGGTTACCAGACCATGTCAGATATGGGATTAATTAGCCAGTTATTGGTTTTTGGAAACATGGACTTCATGGTGGAGGAACGCTTGCGCCACGATGCGCCACACCGTCGAGCAAGTATAGTTAGGCATACCGTAATCAATATATGGTGGCAAGTTGTTGTTCATGTTGCTCCATTGGAACATGTTCCAGGTCATCAGACAGCACTTATACATTATTTAGCATATCCATAATATGAGCACCAATGACTTGACTTCACTTAGTTAACTTTGGATCCACATAAAACACATTGTATAATAAACTAATTCTGCTTTCAATATTAGGAAACAGATAGTAATACTGTAATTTACTCAATTATAAAATTTGACTAATTTATCCCCTGTTTTTTAAAGAAATGTTCAATTTACTGTTGCAAAACAGGAAAATGAATTAAAATAAGTCACATAGATAATCACAAAAAGCATCACAAATCTATTATGAGAAAGTCACATAAAAAATCTCAGTAAAAAGAAGAGCTTAACCCTCACATAACGTGTTGATGGCTTATAGTTGAGAATTATATTTATTCATTCAATCTTCATATATTGGAGATGTTAGGGTTGAAGCCCTGTGCAGTCTAATGACAATCCCATTTCCAACTCAAAATGCAATAAATAGTACAAATGTACAATGGTACAATTTAGTAAAATAGTACTTGTAAAATGTAGAATTTGAAAAGTAAAGATATAGATACTTCATAAATATAAATCATAAACTGATCATAAAACAAGTAGATGTTATATTTTCATATGAAATATCAGATAACATAACCATTGCATCATTTTACTATTCAGTGAAACATCTCAGAAATGTATTACTTTTTGGTGCAACATGCTAAATTGATGTTAAATTATTGCAATGTAAAAGATTTTATTATAGTCATTATACGTCATTATACCATCAAAAAAAATGTAACTTATGACTAAACTTATGTCAAGAACCAAAACTTAATAAACTTACCGTATTTCACGGACCATATGGCGCACTTAAAGTATTTTTTTTTAAAAATTCGATTGTAAGTCGGTGCGCCTAATGTATGGATTAGGAGGTGCTTCATACTTTATTGCCCACACTCAATAGCGGTACCAGTTTTGCTGTAAGAACTGTTGCGTCTTGTAGCCTAGTGCGCCCTATGTATGAATAAAAACCTAATTTAAGCAATTTATTGACAGTCCGCCAGTGTGCCTTATGGTCCATAAAATATGGAATTCAGTTTTTGAACAGCGATTTGAAGAATAGATATTTAAATTTAAATGTACCATATTTTCGATTTTATTCAGCAAGGTAGTACCTTTTCTTTCTTGTCACTGATTGCACCAGAGGTTTAGTGTGGGTAGTGTGTATGTAGGCATAGTATTTTGAATGATCACAACATTTGAAAATGTTGCATTAATTCACAATATTGATAATTCTATCTGAAAACAGATTTTTCCATGCAGACTTCATGTCAACGTGAAAAAGTAAAACAATAAAAATTAGGTTAATTAATCCCTGAACATCATATGGCAATAATAATCTGTGATAGTAAATTAGTCTGCATACTTTTCATTATAGATGATATTTTAGTGAGATGTACCAGTTTACTTGAGTATAGTTTAAAACAATTTTAACTTGGCCATGTCGCTATATCACCAGGCAAGGTTAGCGGATGGCAAGTCATGCCTTCGAAATTTCTTGCTTGGACTGAATCTTGGACCAAGTAATGATGTTAGTGTAACATATCTTGAATCCTCAAGCCAATTCTTTTCTATTGGAGGAATTTTTTGTGGCCTTCTACCCCTAACAGGTGGAAGTTCTTTCTTGTTGATGGCATTAGGTCTTGTACTCCCAAAAGCTGGTTGAATTTCGTTCAGTTTTTCCCACGATGTGTTCACTTCTTCAAGTTTGGGATTTGGATCTTCTGAAGATTTCATTGATTCCTCTTTCTTGTCCAAGCTTTTCTGAATACATCACAATGAAAAGGTTTTGTATGACTGATTTTCGCAGGAAAAATACTGGCAATTGAAATATCATGCATGATGAAATCGTAAATAAAAAAAAGAACAATTCAATTTATCACTTTGGGAGTTTGACTACACAATATTTCTTGTGGATAAAATGTGTTCATACTCAATAATAGAAAACACTCCGGTCAATTGTTATCAAACGAATTTCTTTCCTGTGCAAAAAAACAACAACAGTCGTTCGACGTGTAGCACATTTAAACTTGACGTTCCCTGTTGTTTGGACTATGATATAAAATATTCATCAAATTGCTATTTGCGTCAAAATATGCGAAGGTAGGCACATTGCTAATTTATGCCTGAGGAAAGTCCCTTTTTTAGTTAGAGAATCATATTTTCAGTTTTTCTCAATGACTAGTCTTGAACATGTTGCTTAGATACAGCGAAGGTGTATTGAAATAAGTAATTTTAATGGATGGGGTAGATATAATTATGTGGCTTGAAGCATATTTATGCTTACCGGTAAGTAGTATTCAAATTAGCAGAGGTCGTGACATATATAAATATTAAGCACCTTATTATTGCTATTAATTTACTTTTGTTTACCTATTGATATATTTTGTACTGTGGCTATCTTATGGAATTTATTTCCAAGGAAAAAGCTATTTCATTTCCAGAAAATAGAATGATTTTTGTCAATTTCACTACAGATGAGATGTGCCTATTTTATATTTGTATTGTAGTATTTGTTTTTTTGAAAATGTGCAAAAATATCATATTCAGTACCTTTGGCAGTTTTGTAATGAAAACATTACTAGATCCACTTTCGGAATCACTTGGTATACTCTCTTTTCTATTCTTCTTTCTTGTAATTTGGGGAAGTACTTGTGGTTTTCTTGTGTGATTTGACCTGGAAATAGGCAGTGATTATTGGCTATTTTGAGGGAAATAGAAAATTGCCTTTGTTTTGTAGGAAGGCTTCTAAGGTTTCATCTACCTTGTATTGTTGCCTTTCATATCATTTATATTCTATTTATCTAAATATAATACTCCCTGTGGAATTCTGTGATTTTGGTGAAATTGATTGCTCATTAATTTGTTGATTAATAATAAAAACGCTACAACCGAGCATATATTTTGTAATTTATTTTATCATCTCTCTATGCAAATTATGTGGTGTTGTATAAACATGAAATAAAAGCAAATCAGCAGTCAAGCGGGCAATTCATTTAGATCAAACTGTCAATACGATCATCATGTGATACCTAACAGTGGTAAATTTCTATTGATGAAGAATGTCTGTTATGGGACTTTGTTAATTAATACTGTAAACTACTCTGATCTTAATAGTGAAATAAAGCAAATCTCGTTGTTGAACTACCTATTATCTGAATGTAGTTAAAATATGAACGCTATGTGTGAATTATTTCCAGGCAATAAGGATATTTGCAGATTTTATTTAGCTTTTGTCCATGTGTGGATATAGCAAATAATTTGAACTAATTATTAATATAGTTAGGCTAAATGAAGAATGTTTTTCGTAAGGTTATTTCTTGGATATCAACTATCTCTATTGGAATATAAATTTTGTAAACCATTGGATATCTGCATACTTAATTTAAATTAAATTAAATTACTTGATTGAATTAATTAAATTTCACTTACTTCTCTGATGGAATTCCTCTTAACGCATTGATGGCTGCTTGATATGGATAATTTGCACTGTGATAAAGCCGACCAAACTTGAAACTGAGATCTGGCATATTCTCTGGCTCAAACTAGAAATGTAAAGAATTGGCACAAGATTAACAAGGCAATCGAAGAGTTAAGTTTGGTTACATAATTCTTATACTACATAATGTATTTGTCATTATGTATACCTATTGTATATAATCATGTCTAAATTATGCTAATATATCTCATTTTAAAAACTTGAATGTGATTTACCTGAACTTAATATTTTTAACTGGACAAAACTCGAAAATTTATGAAGAATAATTTTTTTAGATTTTAAATTTTTTTGTTATCGTGTAGATCCAACTTTTATATAAGGCCGTAATCTATAGAAAAATGCAAAATTTGTTATACCTTTTGTATTACTCTTGCATCCAATTTTGTCCACTCATTTTGTTTATTCTCCAATTGTTGTACAAATGATTCTCGCTTTCTTTTGATTTTCTTTTCTATAACTCTATGTCGATGTTTTAATTGACCTAACTTTTGATCAAGCAATCTATCATGACTGACATTTTCATACAGAATCACCTGAAAAAAATAGAAGCTTACTAGGGTTATGGAGAATTTGAAACCCTATTTGACATTACAAAAGCATTCTCGCCTAATTATATGTCATTTTTAATCAATACATTATAATGTTTTTATTTTTATAGTGAGTATCAATTTACTTTTATTGAATCATTTGCATTTTAATAAGCAGTAAATTTTCATTGGGATTGTTTAGGTCGGCATTCGCAACTGGGTTTGAATTTTACTTTGAATTTGATTGGTATTTTCTTGGATATTATTGTAATACATATTTATACACACATTGTAAATTATTCAACTTGTACAAAAGGCAGTGTGCGAGTCGCAAATATCTTAAACCTATGATTCGTTAATTGAGGATTGAAAAACAAATAGGAGCATAGTTATTATGCCTAATGCGGAAGGAATGAATTTCAAAAAAAGGAATGTAACGAAATCGCTGGGTTAAATATTGAATGTTGGAGAATGGTTAATTGCAGTGGAATAACAACTAGAATTGAAATTGCTTTCATCAGTTTACATTCTGTTTTATATTTGTATTAAAAAGATCACTTGTGTTCAACTTACTTGTGTTAAATATGTCTTTGGTTTAACTTTTTTCATTCTTAAGGTTTCGTCCATTTTTGCTTTTTCTTTATCGATTTCAAAACGTCTTTCAAACTTTCTGGTTGGAGGGGTATATACATTCTGTTATAGTCTGCAAAATATTTTATATATATTATCGTTATATTATATGTATAATATTATGGCGCTCCAGAAGTGTGTGTATCAATATGGAGGCAACTAATTTTGTTCGCCTACTTTACATCAAGTTGTGTAAAGGGACTGAAACCTGTGGGCAGGGGGTATATTCACTTGGCTCACACAGACAGTTTCTGAACTCATAATCAAACTAAAATAAGGAAAATCAGAATAAGATCATGGCCTAACCCTAACCTGGTACACACACTGCAGGAGTACCATTATTATTATCCTTCTTCCCACGTCGTCATACTGTCATGACAAGCGTCATCGAAATAGTGTATACATGCATTCAATGTGTCGATAAAGTCTTTTTACAATTAAAAAATTAATTACAAAGTCAAGCGATGATTTTTTTGACATGTAAATATACTTTATGGACAACCTATTTCTATATTTTCATATATCTGATTTTTACTCTTGTTTAAAACTCAGTATTGCATTGAACGTAAGCGTACCTGTTGTAGGCGTGGTATCAGTAGAACTCAATCCAATATTCAACTTCTTCTTTCGTTTCTTTTCTTTAGCTGACTGTTGATTCATTTTCAGCCAAATTTTTTCAATGTCATCTTCTGTTATTACATCAGGATCAAAGGCTGTGCTCCTCTCGCTTTCAGAACTCGATCCTTTGTTGTCATTTTCACATTTGCTATCTTCATTTTTTTCTGACATTTTGGAATGGATCATCAATGTTTATCCATAAACAATGTTCTGATAGAGAGAATGTCTCGAGTAACAAACTCTTCTCAGGTTGTAATACTACACATTCTCAAATTAAAATCTGTTGGTTAAACAAATACAAGATTATTTTTCTTTTCTGCTTTTCCTTGTGGTGTAATTTTGATCCTATATTTACAATACCCAGTAAGGTTGTAGCTTGACAAAGCTCGACTCATCTTCATTTAACTTTTCACATCAACTACAGCTTTAGTATTTAAATTTTTATATTTTTGCTTTAGTAAAACATGGGTTTAATTCGGTATGTCAAATAAATTTAAAGATTTTGTTATTACAACTTATGTCAAAGACAAAAAAGTACATATGGTTCTAATACATAGGATAGAAAAGATTTGTATTTATATGATTGCCTATTCGTTGAAATACTCAGTATTGTGCTTTCCCAAATTTTATTGTTTTATACTCAATTTACACAGTGCTATAATGATAGAATAAGCCAATTATCCTTTATTTAATAAGATTCATCTTGTTTGCACCTGTAGTCTTCTTATGATGAAAATCCACAACTTCTCCACCTTAGTGATTAAAGGTCTGTTACTAGATGCCCGCCCATACGCACGACTATTGTTTTTGAATACTTGTATTTTTGTTCTCTTGGTTTTCTTTGTACCAAATTGTATGAATTAACAACAAAGATATTTGCCAAACAAGATAGTGTTACCTCCTTTATTTTGTTTTCCTTTGTGACGCCATTGAGGATTGAATATTGTTGACAAGTATTCTTATGATCATATAGTCGCTAGAAGATAATGACCGCCACAATCCTATATTTTCTAAGTGTGTATTATTGTCGAATAGATCCTTTGAATCTCAATTGAACCACAATTTGTTATTGCTCAAGTGTTATGATTTTCTCTATTTTATAATATAATGAGATAGGTATAGATAAAGCTATCACTGAAATATGCTCATATTTCATTATATTTTTGTCCAAATTATGACAATATATAACAGATGTCAAGTGGAAAATCAATAATATCAGATTGAGAGAATAAAGAACAAAAATGGCACATTATTCACAGGCGAATAAGCATTTAAAAACAGATTTTTATTCTCATATATACAAACACCATATTGCTGTAAATGAGCACCCTTAATGATGGAGAAATTAAAAATCAATCATTTCTGAGTCGCCCCAATTTAAAATTATGACTGTTTTTACTGAAATTATCACACAAATAATGATAATGTGTAGGCTATGTTGTTGATAATAATGACCTGAATAAATTACTATTGAATGCCAGTTATTTCAGGCGATTATTTTTAGCTGAACTGTACTGAACTGTAGCTGTCACCTTAATATCACTCTCATAATTCTTTTTTTATTAAATCTTCTATAAAAAATGTAGAAAGCGGCTATTTTTTGTTAATATATACAATTTACTTTTTCATACCATAGCAACACATTTTTATATGAAAAAATTCATTTTGTAAGTAATTGCTTGAAAAACATCTGTTATCAACATAAAAGACTAGATTATGAGACAAGTTATTTCATTACTGTTGTCCTTGTCAGATTGACTGTTTACTCAGGTATCTAGCAAATTGAGTTCTATGTCTATATACTCTCTAGTCAAACATTGCATTCTTGAAATAAACATTCGCTTGAACCTCTTACATTGTTCGGTTTGATAACAACACATATTAAATCATAAAATGTACTTCTAGTCTTGCATGGCCATGCTTTTTTCCATTGTTCTTGCAAGATTCATGCAATACTGTGATATCAAAGAACTTTCTGAATTTTCTCTTCACCTGACCTGCTGATTTAATGAATATTTATTTTATTTAGATGATGATGATGACTATCTCTAGCTATTAGCACACAAAAATTATTTTTATGATTCTAAAGTTAGATACTGGTTGTTGAAGATGATAGCAGAAGAATTTATATCTTTTTATATTTTTTCATCATTAATTTATTGATACATATTCAATGTTAAAGATTTTATGAACAAATTCTGGAAGTATATGACTTTAGATTTTGATAAATTCAACAGACTTTACTCTAGTAGTATGATAACAAGTAGTTTCTAAACATATTTTATCATGAGGTTTTTTCCATTACTTTCAAACGGGCCTAACCTGACAAGTTAATCTATATGTATATTTTTGGTTTACCACACATTATCGACTGTGCAAATAGCACATGTGACACCAAGATGATGGAAGTATCCATTCACAGTTTTTGTGTTGAAAGTTCAACAATAAATATGTAAACATAGAAAAACTTCCGTTTACTTTAGACAGGAAAGATAAATGATATTGTTTACATTTTTACTGTAATCCCATGGTAATACGTGATGAACATTGAACAACACTGTCAACTATTGGCATTCAGCACATTAATATATTGTGGGTTTTTTGTTGTATCATTATGTGTATTTATTGGCACAAAGGATGTTTGTTAACTTTTTGCTTTGAAATTTATGACACATTTTAAATTCGAGTGTTGAAATTTTGTACAATATTTAGAATAACTTGGGTTTTTCATTTTGTCTCAAGTAGAAGGACATCTCCATTTTGAGTATGAAAATAGTTACCCGGCTGTTTGATCTAGGTGCATGGATTTGTTAGGGGTTGAGAAGGCTCTAACTGACCAGTTGTTACAAGTGAGAAGTCCAGCAATCCCCCCATAGATTTTCATCTTTCACATAATCCAAACCTTTGAATCTACATGGGGCAATCAGTGGTGAGTTGGCTGATGTGTTTCAATGCTTAAGTCTTAAGATATTGACTCTCCGATTGATATGATGTAAACTGGTTTGTAACAGTAGGAGTCAGTAATCCTCTTGAACATAACTTCCCTCCGCAGTATTCAAACTGACAAACCAGAAAAGACTAGGAAAACGGAGGTAGCAATGCAAATGTGCCCCAAGGCCTAACACTTCCCCACTGTGCTTGGATATAAAATAGTTTTGGGTTGTTATTATATTTTTTTATATATATTAAAATTGGTGTGAACACTATTTCTGTGAGATAAGGAAACCAATTTCCATTATAAAATTTGTAATTGATTCCATCCACTATTGAACAGGCCTCTTCACTATCTGATACTGAATGCTGGAGTCTTTGCATTGCCATGGCAACTGACTGTGGGATGGCATTAGAGCGAACTTTTGCTGCAAATCATATCGGACATTTCTATCTCACAAAACTCCTCGCTCAATGTCTTATAGAAAGTGCTCCTGCTCGAGTTGTTGTTGTGTCATCAGAATCACATCGGTGAGTGGTGGTTCTTTTTCTTAAAGTAAATTATAATAGTGATTATAACAATGACGTTGTTTCAAAATTTATCCACCATGAAATTCAAAACATTGGTGCATGTATCAGCTAAGCCTTAGTTGACAAATACATCATGAACATGTTTTTGTTTATGGAAAATTGTTACCTCTTGTATAGATTTAGTGATTAAATATCTTATATTTTTCAATAAAAAAGTCTTCACATAAGAGTAAGGAGTTATAATAATATAATATAATAATAATACACAAAAAACGATTATAAGGTGTTTCAACAAATATGAAAAGCTAAGTGAAGCCTATTCAATATTGAGATCTTTGATACCAATCTTAAAATTTGCTATGATGAGTTTCCATGATCTAAATCCCATGTAATATTTTGAAAATTTATACTTCTTTGCTTAAAATACAACTTTTAATGCTTTAAAACAGCTTTGTGAACAAGGATGACTGTATCAATCTTAATGATCTCTCACCTCCACAACATCAGTTCTGGGCATCAACACAATATAATAGAACAAAATTGTGCAATATATTATTCAGGTAAATATTTTTGTAAAAAAAAATCTGATACATTTTGTTAACTCATACAGAATAGGATTTATATATTTATGCCGGGGGAGAGGAGAGCCGATAAGCCTACTTAATCATATGGCGAACCACGGCCTCTTGCCCAGTTACCAATCCAAGTCAGGTATGGGATTAGTTAGTCAATTATTTGTTTTTAGATGCATGGAGGAAGTCGTAACCGATCAGCCATTACGTGAACCCCCTTATGACGAGGAGGAGTCCTGCAATCCTTTCGCACATAATTATCCCTTCATGGGATTCGGACCTGCGAACCCATACAGGGTAATCAGAGGTGCAGTGGCGAGCGTCTTTCTAGTACTTTGCACAATGCGTCACACCATCGAGCATCATACCGCAGAAACAAATGTTGCTTCTCAATGACCAGTTTGGTTTCGAGCCTCTCAATGCTAATCTGGATTCCATTCCTACATTATATTTGTACAGTGTATATACTGAGAGTGGTGATGAACTACCGAGAATTGGTTCTATTACACCATATATAATTTCATAGAAGTTTACAAACATTGAGATCACTCTCAATATATAGTTTACCAAATCTTATCATAATATGGTTGGCAGAACAGATCGGGTATTGTTAATAGTCAACCAGTAGGCTGTTGTTATGACTTACATCTGGTATATTCAATCAGTCAGTTAAGATAATAGGTTATGGATCACGATATGCTATTTGATTCATGCCATTTGATTCATGTAAAAATCATCTCATGATCTTATCTTATCATATCGATTGTCATTTCAAAATTTCATTGACTGAAGACATAAAAGAAGATAGTAATCTTGATTGTTTTAATATGTCGTTTTAAATTTTATGAATATGAAATTTTATAATATGTCTATGGCACACTATACATTTAGCAATGAACTTCATCGTAAGCTGAGATCAAAAGGTGTAGCTTGCAATTCTCTTCATCCTGGGAACATGATGTTTACTTCATTACCTAAATCGTGGTGGTTCTACTATCTTGTGTTTTTTATGGTACGACCTTTCACAAAGACAATGGTGAGCTTGATGCATGTTTTGTATTATTTAAAATAAATTATGCTTTTCTAAGCAGAACGTGGAGGTGTTTATGGGATGTCTCCAAAATGTCCTGTCCCACCTATCCCACTTGTACCACTCGTCGTGGGACATGTTGGACACGTGGGACACGTTGGACAAGTGGGACACAACATTTCGGATTTCGGATTTGAATGGCCACAAGTTTCCGTGTCTAATGGAGTGTGTAATGTTAGCTGTATTTCTGGCAACTAGCATTTTCCCAGATGGTTGAGCATGACCTTTGATGTCATCAGTTTCAGGTGACTGATCATGACCAACCACCTGTGAAGGTGATTTGGCCATGTGCACGGAGTAGTCTGGAGCACAGCACGGTTGGTGGTGTTTATGTCTGTATGTGTTACTTTGGTTATTGCTTTGGACATTTATTCGCTGTATAATTAAGACATTTATTAAATATACTTTGGAGTCGCTTTAACAAATGGTAGCAGAGGATGTGCAATGACTTCTCAAGGATACAAGAATCCTCCTTTGTTGACGGGAGAGAAGCCATACGATCAATGGAAGAATGAGATCTCTATGTGGAGATTAATTACAGACCTTGACAAGAAAAAGCAAGCTTTAGCAGTGACATTGAGCTTATGTGGAAAAGCTAGAGAAGTTGCTCTAGAAATAAGCTCTGAGGAATTGAACAGAGATGATGGAATGCAAACATTACTCGTAAAATTAGATGGTGTTTTTGAGAGAGAGACTTCTGATAGAACGTATGAAACATACACGGAATTTGAGAATTTAGTGAGACTGGAAAATGAAAACATCAGAGATTACTTATCAAGATTTGACATAGTGAACACCAAAATGAGAAAATTTGGCATGGAGTTACCGGACACTGTACTGGCGTGTAAACTTCTCAAAGGAACAAATCTTGCTTTAAAAGAAAGACAATTGGTTCTTGCAGCAGTGGACAAGTTAGACATATAAGTCCATGGGTTCAGCACTGAAAAGAATATTTGGTGAAGGAGCTTCATCGTCTTCTGTAGAAGTGAAACAAGAGACTGCATATTTTTCGAAAAAAATTGGTAAATTCCAACAAAATCATGGCAGGCGAGCAGGTACAAATCCAATAAGAAAAGATGGTTCTATCAGTCAATGTGCTATTTGTGATCTACTTATCATTGGGTAAGAAATTGTCCTAGAAATTCAAATATTCCAGAGCAAGATGTCAGATTTGCGATTCAAGGATGCATTCTGAAAATTCCTGTCCACATCAGGAGCGAAAAGTAAATCATTTTCCAGAAGATAGCAATGTGATGTCAGTTGTTAATGACATGGATGCGTTCACCAAAGATCTATGTGGATATGCAATATTAGATTCTGGGTGTACTCGCACTGTATGTGGGAAAATTTGGCTTCTTGATTATTTGCAAAGAATCGAGGAATCTGAAATAGAAAAGATTCACACTGAAGATAGTGGAGGAGTTTTCAGATTTGGTGATGGTCGAAAAGTCAGTTCATTGTATTCAATAGAAATCCCGGGATATATTGGGGACACTAAAGTCAACATTTCTTGTGATGTGGTTGATGAAAATATACCATTATTATTGAGTAAAGATTCCATGAGAAGATCAAAAACTGTGATTGACTTTGCAGAAAACAGAGTGGAAATGTTTCATAAACCAGTTAGGACTCTAGAGAATAAGAAGTATTACTGTGTCAGCCTTTTTCGCGATAACAATAAATCACCTACTCCTAGGATTTTTATCACTGCAAATGAAAGCAATGAAGCTTTTTCTGAAAAAGATCTTTTGAAGTTGCATCGACAATTTGGTCACGCTTCCTATGAGCGATTATCAAAACTGATCAATAATCAGGAAAACTCAACAAGTTATCTTCAAATATGTTGAAGAAAGTTATAGACAATTGTCAAGTTTGCAAAATTTACAAGAAACCTTTTCCAAAACCGGGTGTTGGTTGCCACGTGCAACGGATTTCAACGAAGTTATAGCCATAGACCTCCATCAGCTTGGCCCAAATTTATGGTACATGCATACTATCGACATGTTCACCAGGTTTAGTTCTGGTTCGATTATTAGTTCCAAGTCTTCATTAGTCATAGCAAATGAGTTTTTGTCACATTGGATAAGCATATACGGACTCCAAGACAGTATTCACAGACAATGGAGGAGAATTCAACAATGCAGTTTTTCGTGACATGGCTGAAAATTTCAACATAGAACTCAAGACGAGTGCAGCAGAAAGTCCATGGAGCAATGGTTTAGTTGAGAGGCATAATTCTGTTCTAACTGAAATTTTGCTGAAAATTAGAGAATCTGAATCATTAGATTGGAAAACAGCATTTTCCTGGTCTCTAAATGCAAGAATTCATTGCATAATGTTCATGGTTACAGCCCTTATCAGCTGGTATTTGGAAGGAATCCCAATCTTCCTTCTTTGCTAACAAACAAACCTCCTTCGTTGGATGGCACTTCTATGAGTGATGTAGTTGCTTCTCATCTCAATGCCCTTCATGCTTCGAGAAAAAGCCTTTCTTGAATCAGAGTGTAGTGAACGAATTCGAAGAGCATTGCAAAAACAAATCAGGTCTCATGGCGATGAAATTTATGAGACTGGAGACACTGTTTATTACAAGCGAGAGAATTCAGAAAAATGGAGAGGTCCGGCAAAAGTTATTGGTGCTGATGGATGTGTAGTATTCCTTAGGCACGGCGGACTGGTTATACGTGTACATAAATGCAGGCTGATGCATGATAAACAAAGAGAAGTTAAAGTTGAACAGAAAGAGGAGCAGATATCAAGTAATGAAGCACAACCAAAAGTAAAAGAGATGCTTTATGATGATGATGACGAGGAAGATTTAAAACAGACTGATCAAGGAAATGAATCTTCAGAATATAACGAGGGACACTCGGCTTCACCTGTTGTGAAGAGAGATCCTAAACGTGGTCAAATAGTAGAATTCAAAGAGGATGTAACTGGCAATAAAAAAGTTGCAAAAGTACTTGGGCGGGCTGGTAAAGCAACAGGAAAGTACAGTAGCTGGTATAATATTGAATATTGCAACCTTCATCTGAAAAAGGCACAAAGACATCCATTGATCTTGACACTGTTGAGAATCTATCTATTATGGATGATTTACCAGCTGAAGAAATACCAATTGTTGATCAAGTGATGTTGATTAACGAAGACCTCTTTCTTGAAGCAAAGATGAAGGAACTGCACAGCTGGAAGCAAAATGATGTCTACACAGAGGAAGAAAGTAAAGGCCAAAAATTGTTAAGTACAAGATGGGTGTGTTCAATAAAAAAGACTGACAATGGACCAAAACCAAAAGCTAGACTAGTAGTTAGAGGTTTTGAAGAAGATTGTCTCAGTGAATTGAAGACAGATTCCCCAACATGTTCTAAAGAAAGTCTCAGACTTGTTTTAGCACTGCTTGCACAAAAGAAATGGTCGCCAAAAACTATGGATATTAAAACTGCCTTCTTGCAGGGAAAATCTCTTGAGCGTGATATTTTTATCAAACCACCTAATCAGAAAATACAGAAGCGAAATGTTGTGTGGCGATTGAAGAAATGCGTATATGGTCTTACTGATGCTTCAATGTATTGGTACGAAAGTGTTAAGGAAACGCTTCTAAAATTAGGTGCTCGTATCTCTGTAGTGGATCCTGCTTTATTCTATTATTTCGATCATGGTTTAAAAGGGGTGATCGCTTTGCATGTGGACGACTTTCTGTGGGGCGGTTCGGAAGAATTTGAAGGCAAATTCATCAAGAGTTTGAGAGAGCAGTTCAAAGTTGGAGTGGAATATACTGAAAGTTTCAAATATTTAGGACTTGAATTAAAGACTGATAAGGAAGATATCACACTTAGCCAGCACAAATACATTGAGTCACTGCTTCCGATTGATATCCGTTCATTGAAAACTAAGAGTGGAAGTGAGCTTTTAATCGAAGCTGATGTCTTGAAAGTTCGATCTTTACTTGGCCAGATACTGTGGGTCTCAAATCAAACTCGGCCAGATGTATCATTTGCATCATCTACACTCACATCTGCTTTAAAGAATTGCACTGTTAAAACTGTGATAGAAGTTAACAAAATTGTCAAGCAACTGAAAGCACAAAAGGTCACTTTGAAATTTCCTGCTTTCCATGACAATGAAGTTAAGTTTCTTGTTTATAGCGATGCATCATTTGGTAATTTGTGTGATGGGGGCACGCAAGGTGGCCATATTGTATTCATGAGTGGTGGAAACAGGAAAATACCTTTATGTTGGCAATCCAAGCGAATCAAAAGAGTCGTGAGAAGCACACTTTCTGCTGAAACCCTCTCTATGTCAGATGGTGTTGATACGGCGGTGTTATTAGCAGCGTTGTACTCTGAACTAACGACTGGAAGAGTTCAACCAGAAAAATTTGGCATTGAATGTTGTACTGATAGTCAAAGCCTTTGTGATGCAATCAAGTCGACAAAAGCTGTATCAGAGAAACGTCTCAGGATTGACATTTATGGTTTAAAAGAAATGGTTTCATCCCATCAAATCTCCTGCATAAAGAAACTTCCGAGTGATCAACAATTAGCAGATTGTTTGACTAAGAAAGGAGCATCTTCACACGAACTGTTAAATGCATTATGTTAAACTTTTATTTGAAATTGGAAATTGGGGAGATTGTTAGCTGTATTTCTGGCAACTAGCATTTTCCCAGATGGTTGAGCATGACCTTTGATGTCATCAGTTTCAGGTGACTGATCATGACCAACCACCTGTGAAGGTGATTTGGCCATGTGCACGGAGTAGTCTGGAGCACAGCACGGTTGGTGGTGTTTATGTCTGTATGTGTTACTTTGGTTATTGCTTTGGACATTTATTCGCTGTATAATTAAGACATTTATTAAATATACTTTGGAGTCGCTTTAACATGTAATGCATACTTGACATTGCCTTACTACTCGATACACAAAGGCCATATTATGTCTTCAGTA